ACAAGATTCACCTTTTAATAATTCAGATGCTGCATCTTAATAGAACTATTAAGAGGTAAACAAACAACCCCTAAACTTGATATTATTAGTCTAAGACAAGTCTACATCAAGGTTTCAAGAAAAAGCTTAGACAATCACATACATATAGGATATTTGTTTTACAAAGAAAGTGAGGTTAGGTTATATAACAACTTTATAAGTATGGGGTACCATGTGGCAATAGCTTGATTCGGAGTCGATCTGAATCGATGTAAGATTAAAAAAAAAATCATTCATTCTCATCCAATCAAAAAAAACCTTTTTGTATTTGTAATTGATTTCGGAATTTAAATGAATCAAACGATAAAAAAAGACCATTATCCATTTCTTGGTCCTTATTAGGTTCAGGTTCAGCCTTAACATTTTTTTTGAATTTTACAAACCAAATATTTTCTATCTGAAATTTTTTCCATATAATATAACTATAACTATAACTTTGTTTTTTATCACCAAAGTTCATAAACAATTTGTGTGTATACATCTTTTATGGAGTGGTTGCATACACAATTTGAGTTTGTGTGTACATCTATGTGGTTTCATTTTTGTTCAAATTCAAATCATTTGCCTTAACTTTGTTACTTCACCTTCCTTAAGAGCCTCTCAAGTAGTGATGGTCAAAACCGGTCTCGGGTCGGTCCCAAAATTTCTCATGACCAACCATAACCGGTCTCGGTCCCGTTCAAAAAGGTGGAGCCCGGTCAAGCTTTATTGTAATCGGTTATGGGCCACCGGTCCCGGTCATTAAAAAATATTTTTTTTTAATGATAGATATTTTAAATACATTATAAAATTTGTAATTGGGTCATTCAAATAAACTTTAAAAATGCTTTTTGTTATAATTAAAATTGCATTGTCTTACAAAATATAGCGAGAAATCGACAATTGTGAACGTTTTTTTGCGTTTTATGCGAATCGAGAACTTGGTAGGTAAATCTCTCAACCAAGACACTTATATATAGTGTTTAGAAAACAAAAAATACAAAATATGACCAAAAAACGGATGCACTTTAAAAATCAAGCCGAGCCGGTCCTGATCCTTCGACGGTCCCACGCCAGGCCGGTTTGACCATCACCAGTCTCATATTGGATCCTTGAGAACCATCACAAGTACGGTTGACATCTATTTATTTAGACGAGAATGTCGTGTCGTCTAGCGGAGCCTAAAAGAAGGTAACTCGCGCAGACAGCTGACTCCTTTTCAACAGAAAAGAATAGCCAAACGAACCCAGCTGGCTGGTCAATCGCAGAAAAAAGATAGGCCGGCAACCCGGAGATGTACATCCACAGTTCTGACCTTACCAGCACCGAGGGTGTACTAATCTAAAAAAAATAGTAGTCCATCAGAAGGAGCCCAGCTGGTTATATGGGCCGAGGACGCACCGGCCTGTTATCTTTCCACTGTTTGGAGGGAGAGGTTTTCGCAGCTCTGTGAAACCAGCCTAACGCATTGCCCTCTGCTTTAGGAACCATGAAAGCCCAGGCGTTCGCCTTAACCACATGGTCCAACTCCAAACTTGGAACGGGCAAGCCAGATCTTGCAACCATCGAACCCAACCAATCTGGGCTCAATCACAGTCCAGCCATCTTGATGCCCTCACTCGAGTCACAGGCTCGCGTTACCAAGCCCGGCGATAATCCAACTCCATTTGCCGCTTATAAACAAGTCGGTTCCATCTACTCCGTCCCGATGTGGGAGTAGAATTACAGCTTTTGTGCTCAGTTTTCTCCCAAAATACGTCGTAGTTCTACCACTGGTGCCCCAAATTTCTGCAAGTGAAGTTGAGATGGAAACAGTTAGGATGTTTGTTTTTTAGAACTCTAAATCGATTGAAGAATGGTGTTTAGATTCTTGAAAACGCACACAAAAATCAGGTTTGGTTGAAGAAAGGGTATGGAGGATAATATGCAGTGGAGACTGGAGAGGTTATCCTTCCCTTTCTCTGTCATCTCTGTGTGTAGGCAGGATAGTGATGGCCAAGATAATAACAAATTTACAATTATGTCCCTCCTGTACATGTGAGTCCTGTCCAACCTTGAAATAGAAAAAATTGGAGAAATCATTCCAACCCATGTTTATTCATCATAGTTGTATTTTTTGAGGTTCAAAATAACTAATGCGTTATCGACGATGAGGTCAAGTCTCAAGTTTTATAAATCATGGTAAAGACATGACGTTTGTCAATACATAAGATGGTAAATTTGCGTATTATATATAAAATTATATAAATACATATATGTTATATATATATATATATATATATATATATATTATTTAATCATGTAATGATATTAATTAAAAAATACGACATTTATATAATAAGAGAAAAAATCATATATGTTATTATTATACAAATAGTCTTTGATTAAACAATTAAATTACAACTTTTTTTAATCGTGAGTCAAAGATTGTAAGAATTCGTGAATCTGTAAGTGACGTAATTAGATAAATCTCTAAAAGTTAATATTTAAAGTGAAAATTTTAAAAAACAGAAAAGTTTAAAAAAACTAAAAAATCACGCCTTGTAAAAAACATATACGTCACGGCACACCATGATGTAAGCTACATCTTTCATAAACGTTATAGGTCTTATCATAATGACAGAGACACGTCTTGCACCATATCGCACTATGATGGACGCTTTGACGCGTCTTTTTGAATACCGATTTTCTTTAATACCTGATAGTTATATATATGGTTGGATTCAATAATTCAACTGCCATGAATAATATGGATGATTATATTTTGCTAATAGTAACTCTAATATTATAGAGACTGTTACATTCGAATCTGGACCATCTATTTTTTAAATTCATCGCTTGATATTTGTTGTTTTGAGGCTCTCTCTCTCTCTCTCTCTCTATATATATATATATATATATAGAGAGAGAGAGAGAGAGGGGTTGGTTATTATACAACTCTTGACATTTGTGCAACCAATACAACCCAATCTCAACCGTCCATTTCATTTGATTAATATGTGATTTCATAGAAGTTTTTATTGTTTCCTAATATAAAGTATCGATCATAATTAATGAATCATATTCATCTTCTATAAATATTCAAATCATAATAAATGAACTCTCATCATTTCCATAAATATCTTAATATATTGGGTTGCATTGGTTGTACAAATGCGATGAGTTGTATAATAACCAAACTCTCTCTCTCTCTCTCTCTATATATATATATATATATATATATATATATATAAAGGCGGGTTACGTTACAAATCGTCCAATTCATGAAAACTATGCAAATCATTTTCGATCAATAGAAAAATTCTGTTTTTTTTTTCTATAATTTTAATAAGTAAGGGTATAATGATCATTTGATTGTATACTAGTTAATATTGGAAGGTAATAATTACTCTTAATTATGGAAACGTAATAATAGAAACATTTAACATAGAAGGTGGTAAATCAATTTTTCTTAATATAAATTTTTCACTTAAGAAAATAAAATATTCAGTTTTCAAAATGTTTCATTCTGTCAAAGAATGTTTCATTCTTTATATGTTTCATCGTTTATTATGATATCCTTTGTTTTAAAATTAGTTTGATTATAAATTATTAAAAGTTCAATCCTACTTCAATAACCGTTAATGAAATAGTTTCATATATCACCAAACACTATAACTGTACCGAGGGTCCCTCCCCCAATTTGGTGATTATGGCGATCCTGCCAGCTATTGTGCCATCCGACACTGTCACTAAGCACTATAGCCCCAGATGCACCGAAAGTTTTTTCTCACATATCACCCAATTGAGCAATTTTCTAGCGTAAATGCTTTACGTAATTTAAATCTCAAGGCACTAACCCAAAACTCAACCCAACGATAAAAATGAAGTAAACTTGAAATCTTACTTTCGGAAATTCTGTGTGTTACATGATTTTTATAAAACTTAGTTTTTAGGGTCTTCTCTTAATTTTTATAAAACTAATCGGATTCACCTCAAATTGCATCATTAAACAAACAAAGTTACAAGCTTCATTCATTTCCCCCTCTTTTTATAACAGCTCTTCGCCCTACCTTTATTATCTCTCTTTCAATATGGGACAACTTCACTATCATTTTTATAGTTTTTTAATTATGATTTTAATAAAATAATGATTAGTTTTTTATAGTTAAAAAATGCACAATTTTGTTCCAATATCTAAAAATACAAAAATATTTTGCAAATACATTTTATAAAACTAATTATATATAAAAAGATCGAGTATCTCACGAGTTTTTTGAGTCGAGTACTGGGAGCTTGACTCAACTCGTTAATATGTCGAGTCGAGCTCGAGTTCAAGCCAAGTCGAGCTCGAGCCTAACCTAGTCGATTATTAACCGAGTTTTGACCGAATCGATATCGAGTAACTTGCAAGTTGTCTCATATCCTATGTTTGTGAAATTTCAATGAAATCTCATGATTTCAGTCTTTCAAACCAAACATGAGATTGAAATAAAACTCAATTACAAATCCCTCAAAATCCAATCTGCCCAATCCTACAAACCAAACAAGATCTAAACTTTCAAAATGTAGTGACGATTTGTAAAATTTATGTAATTTACTCTAAAAACTTTTTAATACGGTCAATTGTTTCTCTTTATATTAATCGTTACATAAAACTCTAATATCTTTATTTAAACATGTTTTAACTATCTAATTATAATAAAAAAATGGTTATAGGGGGGTGTTTGGGAGTGCTTATTTGAAACAACTTATACTTTTTACAAAAGCACTTATCAACATATTATAAGTCAAGAGAATATAACTTCTTCAAAAACTTCTTATTACTGGTTTGACACCGATATAAGTTGTTTATCCAAACACTCAAAAATGTTTATTACCGGTGTCATACCGGAAAAAATCAATAAGTTATTTTTATAACAATCCAAACTACCCATGATGTACATATCAAATCTTTTAAGATTTCTTTAAAACCTCTGAATCGGAAATATGCATCTGATTCGCTTCATATCAAAGCACGAAGCACCCCCTTTACGGTTCAGAGGCCCAATTTTTCACCCTTGACCACACCACTCTCATTCCTGTACGATTGAAGAATCTCAGCACCACCCTCTGCTGCACCTGGTTCAGTCGCCGCTCGCTTGAAAAGGTAACCCTACTCCAACTCTATCTTCAATCTGCTTCAACCGCTTCTTTTATACTGCCCTAAATGATTTCCCATCCATTTGTTTTTTATTACCCTCTTCTGTAAATGAATTATAGAAAAGCTATCCATTTCATGTACCAATCACGGGTATTTTTTGTAAATTGGGGTTTTTTTGTATGAGAGTCTCGTGGGTTACTCTTTAAGTGATTATGTGCTATCTCATATCTGTTTGGTAGCATGTAAGATGCACGGTTTGTGTTTGATGAAATGCAAAGGTGTTGTATTGTTGTGTCATGGACAGTTCTTTGTGTTGTAGTGTTTGATAGGTAGTAGCAATGTATCACTTAATTCAAATATTCAATGCTCGCTTTCTTGCTTCAGTTATATAATCCTTTGTGGCTTCTATTAGGATCATCGAACAGTGATCGTATTTATAAACACAAAATCTCTCACTATGGAATTGCACTCCAAATTGGAATTTATCAAAATTTCTGTGCAATATAATCTAATGTTGGCTACATAGTATCATCTGTCAATCACCTCGTAAAACATAAGCATTGCAACCAATTTATCCTGATTGGATCTAGGTGGCTGTTTGATTAGTCTGACCAAGGAATTTTTAATCATTTGAACAACTAGGCACATGCATAAGTAGGTTACCATCCAGTTACAGTATACTGATTGTTTAACTTTTTGTTGTGTTAGAGATTGAAAAGATGAGCACCTCAAGCTTAAGAAGTATGTTGGCTCAAGCAGCTGTTAGAGGAGTAACAGAGGCAAGGGCAAAGATATTTGGTCATGTACTTAACCCAACTGGTCAAAGATCCGCCCACAAGATTTTACGCAAGAAGTTCATCGGTGAAAAAGTTGCGTCATGGTATCCAAAGGACATCGAAAAAGAGGACCCTCTTGTCGTGGCACGCAAAGAACAAGAGTAATCTTCCCTCCACCTCTATCTCATTCTTTAGACCGAGCTTGAATATCTGCATTTACATACAAAGATTCTTCTTTAAATTTGACATGACATACCATCTGCGAATTCCTAAAGCTGCCAAGTATGAAAAAGAAATTAACTGCATACTATCCAAAATTCATTTACATGAAAAAAAAAAGATGTTATCCTAACCTTGAATGACACATTTTCTCTGCTTGCTCAAGTTAGTGATGCTAACTACTTTATGTTGTGATTGGTAAATGATTGTAGATATGCGTTCACTTGTTTTACGAAAGTGTGATTGGCTTAATAAACCCTTACAGTTGCTCAAACTAGTTAACTTAATTAATATTAAAGATATTAACCAATCACATGTCAACTTCATTGTCCCTTACTGCTCAAACTCCACTTTAGATTGCCAAGATAATGAGTTTTGTGCCCTACCGGTGCACTTATTCAGGAGAAAATTTGTCTTTGTATCTATGTTGGTAAGTTATTGCTTATTTGTTTTCCTCCTCTCTTTGAAAATGCTAGTAAGTAAATTGCTGAGTACTTTGTCCTCACTTATTTTGGATATATACAACTGTTTACTCTGATCTTTTATCATTTAATATATTTTGTAAACATTAGTATGAGTTTAAAGTCGTTCAAGCTTTTACAACTACGATCAATTCATTTTCTTTAACTCACTTTATGGAGAAAAAAGGAAAGAGTATTTGGACACCCGAGAGAAAGTGGAAATTTGAGTAGAAGTAATGATTTTTCTCTCTTGGAACCCTGATGCACACATCCACGAATCTCTTTTAGTCTCCTTGCTCTCAAAATTGATTTAGAGATAGAAAGAAACCCAATTTAACATGTCTTACAATGCCAATCCTGTCTTTTTTACCCGACAAAACCTCTTCACTCCCTCAACACCAATCCACACAACCAGCATTTTGACCGCATCTACTATGATCAAGAAATAAGAAATTCTAACCTAAATATAAAGTAAGAGAATGGGATCGGCTAATGCAAAAATACATTCTTTAAAACTTTAGGTTGCATTCTATTGAGTAAATATGTGGCATGAAGGACTGCATCTGCCAAAGATACTTAGGGATTTTTGTTGAAAACATGAGTACACATGTGACTTTAAGAATTTGCCTATTTTTTCTGCTCTGTGATTTTATGGTGAGTATCAATGCATAAAGGCAAAAAAAATTGTTCAAAATAAGAGAATATTCTCAAAGCTTATCACTTGTTATCATTTTGATCTTTGTGTTGAATTGAGTTTGAACCATATTTTAAGTTTTTTGAATATAGTCTCAGCTTCAATATTTCTTTAAGTAAAAGCACCCAATTAAACCATGTGTGACCATCTATTATGGCAAGAAACCATTTTTTTCCCGTTGAGGTTGATACTCTAGATGCTTCCCAAATATCACTGCGAAGTGCAAGTGGTGTGGTTGGTGTGTATGCTCATGGAGGATAGGTACTTTTGTGATGTTTAGCTGATGCACATGTATGGCAATGAAATGAAGAAGGGTGCAATCTTTTTAAATAATGAAAACTACGGCGACCTAGTCTAAAATGCAACAAATATTCCTCATTATCACTAGGAATGGAAATGATTTGTCTGTTGGAGTTCTTTTGACATCTTTTATTTGAGTTTGTCCCTTCTTTTAAGATATAGAGATAATCATGTTTCCTAGCATTGCTAATTGTCTACCCAGGACTAGTTCCAGAAAAACACGGGTTGAGTGAAAATTAGCCCTACAATTGAGATTTTGGGTCAATTTCTTGATATTGACAAGATTCCAAGATAAATTTGGAACATGTTGAACTTTTAGAGAAGGTTAAAAGAATTTTAATTTCAACTGCTCCTTCAATTGCTGAAAAGACCCCTCTGCTATCCTAATTTTTCTTATTCCTATACATGGTGGTTGTTATTGTAGCATTACCAATAGTGGTCATGTTGTCAAAACTGAAATAGGTTACAGGTATAAAACCAAACCAAACCAAATGAGCCTAGTATATCTCACCTGTAGGTGGAGTCTGAGAGGGTGGGATGCACGCGGACCTGACCTCTATCCGAAAGAGTAAAACGGTTGTTTCCATAAAGACCCTCACTTGAGTAGAATGTTCGGAAAAAAGAGTTTGCAAAAAATAGAACTCAAGTCAAGAAAAGTGATTTAGAGGCAATCAGCAACATACACACAGAAGTAGATAGAGTAAAATCTCAAGGTAAGAAAAACCACATACCCCTAGTCCAACTTAGGGCTCTAGTAACCTAACTGCGGGTACACCCCCCCCCCCCTCTTGTACCTCTCCAGCTCCCGTCTCCGCTAGCTACAGATCCCCACCCCTAGTTTACTACACTAATCTTGCATCTCCAATAACTCCTATCAGATGTCACGTCCTTAGAAATGTCGGCCATCAATAAGTTATAAGTTACAGGCTTGCTATCAGAATTTGTTTTTTTCACTTAAGCAGAAGAGTTGTTTGGTTAATCACCCTCCAATCAACATGTGGAAGTAAACGAACTCAAGTCTTCAATTTTCTCCATCCTATATCTCATCCTCCTTCAATGCACATGTCAAAAGGAGTATTGTATATAGCATGGACTGTCCATTTTGAAGACTCAGGAACCACAGTTGACTGGGTGTAACTTCTGTTATTCACCCATTGGCCCAACCATAGTATTAATTGTGTTGATATTAGTTACAAAGACACCATCTGTCTGAAACGGGTATCAAGGATAAGAACCAGGCGACACAAATATCTGCACTGATATCTGGTCCAACTTTCTTGTTGTGAAAGGTGTTCAGTTGGAGTTACAGTATTAGGGAGTGGAATATCTTGAATTGGCCTAAGCCGAAGTTCATTCTGCTTGGACAGATATGGACCTCGAAAACTTGTTATAGCATCTCATCTTGTTTTAGAGGTCTGAAAATTTGTTAAGCTATGCTGTTATAGCGGTTAAAATCTAAAATAACGATCAAGACCGTGATTTGATATAGCGCTTGTCGCGATAGTAAAGCAGTGATATAGCCGTCTATATAATAATTAGAATTATATATATACTTATATAGGGAGGTTCAAAAGAGAACATAGTCAAAATAAGAAAACACGAGAATGGCCAAATCACATGTGATTTTGCACTGATATCACATGTGATCACGTAATACAGCGAACCCAAGGGGTGTGTGGGCGACTTGGCCCGCGACCTCAGTCGTGGCCAAGGTTGCGTGAATCACATGTCGTTTTACACGTGATTTTAGTGTAAAATCACATTTATTCGGCCGTTCTCGTGTTTTCTTATTTGGTCATTGTTCTCGTTCGAGCCCAACCTTATGTATATATATGTATGTATAACATGACATATTATATGTATTAACTAGAAATATATAGTTTCTACATCTAGACATTGACTTAACCAAGGCTTTGGTTGATAAATAAAGATGCCCAGGCTAAACAGAAGAACAAACTAATATAAAACAATATGAAAGTGATGAACCTACTAAGAGTTAAAACAATATGAAAGTTTGAATTGGGTCACTAGACTATCCAGAAGCATTCGTTGAACCAAAAACCCATAAATTCTTTTAGAGAACACAAATAAATAGAAGTTTGAACAGAACCTATGAATCAGCTTATGAGTAACCACGAGCAGTTATAATTAAAAAGAAACATAAGTTGACCACTCACTTCTCAGTGGAGAAGAGAACCAGAGAAAGAACCAAGAACATAGTCTAGTTTTGGAGCGAGCTAGAGTGCAGGACAAATAGCGGTCAAAATGGTGGTAATACGCGGTTCTCCCCTGGTATTTTGCACTGTTATTCTGTCTATGCCCACGAACCATGGGACTATAGCAGTGAGTAAGTTGCTAACCTAATCTAATGGACTCCTTTCGACAAGTATATATGGATAATATGTCACATTTAAAAATCTCCTTGCAAACTTTATAACTCAAGTTTCTATGGAATTTGACTGAATGTTTGTGCCATTTAGGAGGCTCGTATCACTTCTTGATACGTGTACCGTTTAGTATTGTATGTATGCATTGCCAGAAACATGTCATACCTTTTTAAGGAAGAGTACGAGTAGTATATATCTCCATATACGAATTTATAGGACATCGAAATACAATGATGTTTCAATCTATAGCTTTTCTGTTATCTTAATACTAGAATATACAAATATATTTTTGGATGATGCCACTTCATGTTTGTCTTGATGATTTAGGCACTTTTAGTTTTGAACATATAATGTTTTCATTTTGTATGGTGTAGAAGTAGATGGATTATGAGTTCCATTTACTTGTTTGCTCACACTTATCACAAGTCGAGGGTCTTCATGGAAACAATTGCTCTGCTTTTTAGATCAATCCCACCCCTTGACACAATCCTTCCCCTTGATTTATAGCTTTTGAGATCATTGTACCAACTCAAACAAAAAAGAAAAAAAGGGTAATCAGACATGGGTAGCCTTAAGGACCGGGCCTGGTAACCGATTGCTTTTAATTGGCTGAGCTTCAATAAATCATAACCGGTTACATGCGGTCGAGCTTTTTAGTAACCGGTATAATGTCTCTTGTATCACTCACCTCTGAACTTGTGTTGCAAGTGAAAGGTAATAAAATGTGGATTAGGCTTCTTAACCTCAACAACCACCAAATGTGATGCAAAGAAGATCTTAGCAACTAATAGTGCATGCTCCAAGCAACATCTCACCACCTGCATCCATCCAATACTATTCCTTAGAAAACATCAGTGTCATTTAATATTGATGAGGAGGTGGGTTTTTTAACATGGTAAACATTTTGTGGGTTCTTCCTTTGGTTGCATTTAATGCGTCTATGATTCTACAAGCACTTTTTAGGAAGGCATTGTGGTGGGGGGAGGATACACTCTATTGCGTCTTGTTGCAAAGGTTGATAGTATCAAAAAGACCCTTCACAAGATAAATAGAAGGTAGGAGATGGGATATGTTTCTCACAATTCTCAACGATATCAACTCCTACCTTCTATTCGTCGTTGTGAAGGGTCTTTTTGATACTCTAAACCTTTGCAACAAGACGCAATAAAGTGCATCCTCCCCCCGCCACAATGCCTTCCTAAACAGCTGGCTATAGAATCACATAAGCATTAAATGCAACCGAGAGAAGAACTCACAAAATGTTTACCATGATAAGTGAAGCCAGCTCCTTATCAATATTAAATGACACTGGAACTTTCTAAGGAATGGTTGTGATTGGATGGATGTAGGTGGTGAGATGTTGCTTGGAGTAGACATTATTAGTTGCTAAGATCTTCTTTGCATTACATCTTGTGGTTTTTGTGATCGAGGAGCCTAACCCACATTTATTACCTTTCACTTGAAACACAAGTTTAGAGGTCAGTAATATAAGAGACACTAGACTGGTTGCTAAAAGTTCGACCACTTGTAGCCGGTTATGATTTTTTGAAGTTGGGTTATTTAAGAACCGGTTATCACGCCCGGTCTAAGGAATAGTTAGCGATGTCCGATTACCTTTTTTTGTTTGAGTTGGTACAACACTCTCAAAAGCTATAAATCAAATGAGAAACATAAAAATGTTGCCGAACCGTGAATATCAATCTCAACCATTCAATAGTTTCATTTTGGGATTCAAGGTTGTATTATTGTTCATGTGTGGGTGTGTTTCATATATGGAACATGTAAACAATTATGTTTCATATATGAAACAACACCGAATGGCTTACATGCATTTTTTCATATGCATCCTTCCACATGTGAAACTGTTTCTCAACATTTTTCTGGTTTTCATTTGATTTGGCTCTGGAGAATAATAAAAGATGTAAGCAAATTTAAACACAGTTTCACTCATTTTGTTGTATGGCATCACACTAGTTCGAGTAACGTAGAGTGTATGTTCTTCAAGTTCAATATGAAACTAGTAAAACCATAGCTTTGTTTTATTTGCCTTAGGCAACAATGCCCATTTCTGCAATTGATATTGTGTTTATTTCTCCTCTTTCCAATTCTTTAACTCTTCCAAAGTCTCTAACACTTTGTATGAACCGGAGTTCTTCATGGAAACGGTTGTTGTACTCATTTGGGTAGAGGTCCTTGCCGCTTACATCCTACCGTCTCTGGACCCCATCCCACCCAGCCCACCGTTGGTGGGATATACTGGGTTAGTTTAGTTTTTTTGTGTTTGTTTCCCGAATTTTCTACATGGATTGTCAGAACGTTGTCAAGTTTCAAAGTATGACATATTATCGCTCTTGTCTTCTTGTTGCAGTCGTTTATCGAAACTTGAAATGTTGAAGCGTCGTGGAAAAGGAGCACCTAAGAAGGGACACGGAAAGCGTGCTGCTAAACGTAATAAATAGAAATCGATACCCAATATTGAACGTTTTCTTTGATAGGCACAAAGCAAAGAGGTTGCTGCTATTTGCCTTGATTTTTATCAGTCATTTGAGAGATATTAAACTAGGGGGTTGTGTAGTTTCCTTATCTTGGTTATGTTTTTTTTTTGTATACATGTATCTCTATTTGTACGTTATTGCTTACTGATAACTAGTTCTTCAAAGAGAAAAATGACGTCTCTCTTTCACATATTTTGTACAATGTGAAGTCTTCATGGAAACAATCATTCTACTTTTTGGGTTAGAGATCATGTCTTTGCAGTGGTAGATTTAGAAAATTTGCTGAGTGGTGGTTACCAAAAATCTGCCATTTTTTGAGTTGAAAAAGGGTCCGATTAGCCTTTTTGCGGAACTTTTTCCATAAACATACAAAAAGACACATATTTATAAATAACAGATGTAAAACACACACTATTCTCCCTCAAGTGGGAGAAGAATATAGAGGGTTGGGTTTATGTTAGGATTATATATACTATATTATAAAGTATTTGACAAGAATTTATAAAAATCATTTTTATGTATGAAGTATTGTTTATTGATGTATATTATTTAAAATTCAATATTATAAGTAAATAATGCATAAGTACAACTTATTAAAACTTTATATTTGAATTCGTGTTACTAATTACGGATAAACATAATCAAATATTGGATAAATATTTCATTTTAAATATAAAAACGGGTTAAATGCATGAAATAGCAACCTACTTTCACAAATTTTCTTATTATAGCATTCTACTTTTGTTTTTCTTTATTACATCAATGTACTTTCAAATTATTTTTTATTAAGGCATCGTACTTTAAAAAATCTACCCATAATAGCAATGGGTAACCTGTTACCTTTTAAACAGGTTAACCCCTTGATTTTTTTGATTGTGTGGCTTTAATGAGATGATGCGGATGACACATTATTTTGATGACTTAACTAAAATAAAAATAAAAACCTATTTCAAATTATTATTAGTGATTTTTATTTTTTATTGTTATGATCTAAAAAAACATTTGATTTTTTTTATTTTTTCTTATTAAGTTACATGCAAATTAAATATTCTAGAGTAAAATATTTCTTAAATAAATATGAAACATTATTTTTGAGATATATTTTGTTTGTAAAAAAAGTAATACTTCTTATTTTATGTTGTTCAAATAAATACATATCTTTTAAAGTTCTCTTTAAAATGTTAACGAAATAAATTGTGATCTACAATTTTTTAATATTGTTATATTAATAAATAATTCAAAAAAATCTAATTAATTTAATATATTAATACGTCAAGTAAAATTTTTTGAACAAATATAATATATTCTTTAAAAGATAACATTTTTTGGTAAAAAATGAAAATTCTTATTTTTTTCTTCAAAAAACACATATTTAAAAAAAAAAGTATTAGCGAGATAAGTTATGTTCTACTAGTTTTAATGATATTGGTGTATTAATGAATAATTTAGATTTTTTTAATTCATTTAATATATTTATTAAATAACATGTAAAATATCTAAATATTAAAATTAAAAATACAGTGTTTAGTAAGAACTAATAGATGTTATAATAAAATAATTTTGATAGTACAATGATGTAGTAAGAAAGTTACATCACTATAGTACATGTGGACAACCTACGTGGACAATGAGGTGGCATGGAAACCTAATATAATAGGTAAATTTAAATCAAAAGGTTACCCAATGCTATAATGGGTAAATTTTTCAAAGTACAATGTTCTAATAAAAAATAGTTTGAAAGTACATTGCTATAATAAGAAAAACTGAAAGTACAATGTTATAATAAAAAAATTTATGTAAGTAGATTGCTATTTTGTGCGTTTTGCTCAATAAAAAATCTAAAATATAATTAGGATAATCATTGTCTTCTAACAGAGTACTTAATTATTATCTTTATAAAAATTATACTATTAAATCAAAAATAAATTATTTCCTTATTAAACCTAATTAAATTATAATCTGGACTTTGATCATTCTTAATCTCAAAACCATCCATAAATCGTATTTAATATAAGGATTGATCTGATGCATCTTATCATAATCTGTATCCAAATGTGAGGACCTTTTATTATTATGCTTTTCACGTTATACATATAGACCGATAACACATATTTCTTGAAGAAGTGATTATGAATAACAAAACAATTTGATGATTTTTGCAGCAAATGATGAGTCAGTTTTGGAGTATTCAAAGAAGACCTGCTGATTTATACACTATTTTAATCGCCACCAGCATTAAAATGTGGAAGTTGTGAAGAGTGTGACTGTGGGCCCTCTCGCCAAGCAGCGACGCGAGTTTGAAACGTCAATAACTATATTAACAACAAACTATGGCTATGACTATGGCTGCCGCTGTTGCTGTTCTCTCCCTCGTCCCAATCAGCTTGTTTCTCCCGCCGACCATCCTTCGCTTTTCTGGGTAAGATGAATACCAGTGTCTCATCTACTGATCAAATTACGTTTTTGAACGAATATAATTGGGGTTTTACTACGTTTGCAGTTCGTTCCAGTTCAGTTCAATCTTTCAAACGCAGACTGAGAATTCGTGAAAGATGGCCGTGTAAGTTGATAATATCTTCTCTGTTCTGGTTATTTGTGGTGGGTTGGTTGGTGTGAATGACTGGTTTGGGGTGGATTGAAGTCGTAATAAACTTTATTTGTGATCTAACTTGAAATTTGTTGTTGAAATTTGATTTTTGATCGTTTTCTAGGATTGCTTCTGCTCCTGGGAAGGTACTGATGACTGGTGGTTATTTGGTATTGGAGAGGCCGAATGCAGGAATTGTGCTCAGTACAAATGCTCGATTTTATGCAATTCTTAAGCCACTTTATGATCAACTGGAATCTGATACTGTGAGTGATCTTTTCTTTACATTTTGTTTTCTCTTTCTTCTAGTATTGAAATAATCAGACTATAAACAATCTTATACATTTTGGGGTGTTATTATTAATGATAAAGGTATATATTGGTCTTCATAGCTAGATAAGATAGAAAAGTTATGCCAAAGGCATATTGCAACACTTTCACGTGCCAATGAGGAAAAATTGACTAGATATAGATAATCATACAGGGTACATGCTAGGATATGTGAAACCCCTTTGAATCTTTCTCTAAAAGAGCCCTTATAGTGAGAAAGGAGGTTCCGACATATATATACACACACATGCACACACACAAAGGTTTGATAGTATGTATTTAGCTGGCGTGGGACTCCAACACGCCACCTTAAATGGAGGTTAGATTGTGCTCCCTAGAACGGAGGCGAAAGAGTGTGTCGACTCCCTAGATGTGGTAGATCCCGGTTTTGATACCACTTAGGATTTGTGAAACCCCTTTGAATCTCTCACTAAAAGAGCCTTACAGTCTACAACATAATATAGATCCGATTAGTTATTTTATGCTAGCATTACATAATCTTGGGTGTCCTCAATTACTACATTTTGTCTTCTTAGTAAGAAAGGATCAAGTCCACTATGCTTTAGCAGTAAGGTATCATAGTCCTCGTTTCTTTTGCTTACGGACAAATAATATTTTTAGGTTGGAATAACTGTGCTACATGATTCTCGTTATGTTTCAGGAGTGGATGGATCTGAAGGTTAATTCTCCTCAGATGTCAAGAGAAACTACATACAAAATGTCACTAAAAGATTTCAGACTTGAGTGTTCGAGGCAAGTGTTTTGATTGAACGTTTACAACATTGTATGCTGAATAACAGTAAATGATTATAAACCCACCCTTAATAAAGAAAATGTTGACGGTTTTGGTCTCTGAAGACATGGTTAAAGTCTTATCACTGATCTTCATCAACTTCTGCTTATATCTCAGTGAATCAAGGAACCCTTTTGTTGAGTATGCAGTCCAATATTCCATAGCAGCAGCATATGCTACACTGGACAAGAATAAGAAGAATGAATTGCATAAAGTACTGTTACGAGGTAAAACTTCATGGTTTTGTTGTTTTATTCTGTAAATGAAGTGGGGTTCATATTTGCAGACTTTACTGAATAAAATGACAACATTCTTATGACTAACCGATCAGTTATGCAGGTATGGAAATTACTATCTTAGGTTGCAATGACTTCTATTCATATCGGAATCAGGTATATATCCAACTTGCAGAATGATCTATTGCATTTTGAGGTTGGCTTAATAATTTAATTTCAAATGAAAATGAAAATGGAAAATTTCATGAATTTTTTGAATGTTTGTATATTTGACTTATCGCTAGTTGATTTTTACATCGAAAAGGAACTGACCACTTGTACCATTTTAGATTGAAGGACGTGGGCTCCCTTTAACCCCAGAATCTTTGGCTTCTCTTCCACCATTCACATCAATTACTTTCAATGCTGAAGAATCAAATGTAAAAAGCTGCAAGCCTGAAGTTGCAAAAACTGGATTAGGATCATCTGCAGCTATGACAACTGCTGTAGTAGCTGCTTTGCTAAATTACCTTGGGGTTGTTGATCTTTCACATGGCAGTTTAAATCAAAAGAGTGAGCATCTTGATTTTGTGCATATGATCGCTCAAACTGCTCACTGCATTGCTCAAGGAAAAGTTGGGAGTGGGTTTGATGTTAGTTCTGCTGTGTATGGAAGTCATCGTTACGTCCGCTTTTCACCAAATGTCATTTCTTCAGCTCAGGTCCTATACTCTTCTCTCCCNTCTCTCTCTATATATATATATATATATATATTACATGTATATCAACTAAAAGATTAGCTCTAGAATATGTTACTGTTATTGAATTTAACAATATTGTTTCATCATCGGCATTCGCAGGAAACTGTCTCTACCACACCGTTAGAGGAAGTAATTGGTGAAGTCTTGAGAGGCAAATGGGATCATGAGAGGACTAAATTCTCCTTGCCACCATTAATGAATCTGGTAAATATGCTAAAACCTCTCAGATTGTAGCTAAATGTGAATACTGCATTTCTAAGATTTTCTGTGTTTGTTTCTTGTTTGTACAAAGTACTAAGAAAGATTTTTGCAGATACTGGGAGAACCAGGAAGTGGAGGATCATCCACACCATCGATGGTTGGTGCTGTCAAGAAATGGCAAAAATCTGACCCACAAAAGTCCCAGGAGACATGGAACAAGTTGTCAGAGGCAAATTCAGCACTCGAAGCACAGTTGAATTTGTTAAGCAAATTGGCTGCAGACCAATGGGATTCATATAAAGCTGTCATCGACAGCTGCAGCAGGTTCAAATCAGAGAAGGTTAGTCCTTTACTTCCATTTAGTTACCCTAGAAAATGTTAAAAGAGTTGCCCCCCCGGGGGGGGGGGGGGGGGGGGGTTACAGAAACAACCACTCTACCTTTTGGGGTAGATGACAGGTCTGCATACATCTCACCCTGACCCCACCTCCAGGGTGGGATATACCGGGCGTGTTTGGTTTGGCTTAGTAGCATGTTAAAAATTGAAACAAATTGTCTACTGATATTTTTTAAACTGCAGAAGCTACATAATTACCAACTATAATTACAAGAACCTCTTTCTTTTATAAAATCTTTGTAGCTCCAAGTTCTTTCTATTAAAATTGTTTTCTTATTGTCAATTAAATTGGTCTAACAAGATTTATTGCTTGAGCAGTGGATTGAGAAGTTCTGTGAAGCAAGTCATTTAGAAATCGTTAAAGCGCTATTGGGTGCTAGAGATGTCATGCTTAGCATCCGATGCCACATGCGACAGATGGGCGAGGCTGCAGGCATCCCGGTCAGTCTTAACTTGTTTTACTTTCTCTCTGTTAAATGCATCACTTCTTCAAAAAAAATCATGATGTGACTTCAAATGTCAAACCAAGTTATCCAAATTCAAGATTAAGTAATGACAGCTGTAACTGCATTTATTTTCCAGTTTCTAGCATTTTGTAAGGCTTTCCAGGTTGAGAGCACCTCCAGTTTAAAACCTAACCAAAACAAACTCAGTATATCGCTGACAGATGTAGGGTCCAGAGGTAGGATGTACACTGACCTGCCTCTATCCCAAAGACGTTTCCATGAAAACCCGGCCTTGCAAAACAAAAAAATACGAGGATACAAGTGAGAAAAGTAGCAGAAGAGTGTAGGCAACAAGCAACAGATGCAGCGAAGAAAAAACCAAGGGAACAGAAAGCAGTAAAACTAACTATTAGAACAGGAAGAAAAACTAAGACTCACATTCAGGATAGAGTGCCTCTTTTTAACAGTTCTATTATTCCATATGCTCATTTATTAATCAAGTTTTCTTTCCGAACTTGAACATGATATCTGGATTTGCAGATTGAACCTGAATCTCAGACTCAACTCCTGGATGTGACCATGAACACAGAAGGTGTGTTGTTGGCTGGAGTTCCTGGTGCAGGTGGATTTGATGCTGTTTTCGCTGTTACTCTAAGCGACTCGAGTACTAATCTAACCAAAGTATGGAATTTGCACAACGTTTTGGCCTTGCTAGTGAGGGAAGATCCTAGTGGTGTTTCTTTAGAGACTGATGATCCTCGGGCCAAGTAATTATGGCCATTCTTATCGGTTGTTTTAGATGTTTCTTCAAGTTCGTTGTATGTTTAAGTCTTTCAACTTCCGAGTGTATGAAATTTTCTGAACTTCTAATCGTTTCTTAGGCATTATTCTTTAGTTTGAATGAAGTAAGGTCCCAGCTTTACAAGATACCAAGTTATTCTTAACTCCATTTGCTAGAAAATGGCAAATGTGCATCCATCTGGGAGCTGTGGTCTGAGCATTTGTTTCACGTATGTGTTGATTAATGAACATGGAAGGGTTCAAATGAGAACGGTATCATTCTATAAAAACACGAGAACACCTGAAACAATATTTGACATTTTTTTTTTGTTTCTTCCTCTCGTTTTGTTCTAGGATTTGTGCTCTCGGTAGGGCATTTGTGGCCCGCACAGCAAGATTTGAAAAATGAATCGAGTGTGATTTTGAGCATAACTCTTCTTAGCCAACATAGGATAGGAGATTAAACTAAGAGCCACTTCGATTCTCTCATATACATAATCTCAAAACAAAAATAAATCAAGAACCGTTACCGTTTACAAGAACTCGATAAAAAACAAAATTTCAATTATAATTAACCGGATTGCCCATCATATTCATGGTCAAACATAGGGTGCTCATGGGTTGGGTTGAAGACATTTGAACAACCCAATCCAATGCTTGCGGTTTGAAAAAATCTTAACCCAACCCGTACAGGTTGGTCGGGTTGATACTTTGGTACATTAAAATATTGTTTTTACCTTGAATATGTTATTTTCTTACTCATAATTTTTTTTCATCATCAACCATTTGATACAACTTATCTATATTTCTTACATATATCACATTCAGTTAATTTTCTCAATTTACATATATATGTTTACAGTTACTGAACATATATATGAATGAGTTATATAGAGATGTGAATAGATTGAAAATATGTGTATATGAAAAGCATAAATGATAGTATAATTGTCTAATGTATATATTAATAGAAATTCAACAATCATATTAAATCCAAGAAATAAAAAGATATCGGATTCATCGGGTTGGGTTGGGTTCAAATAATAGTAACCCAATATCAACCAAATACTTACGGTTTGACAATTTTACAACTCGATTAAACATCGGGTTGCTTCAGGTTGAGTTATTTTGCATTGGGTTGATCGGGTTCGTCTGGTTTTTGATCACCTCAGGTCAAACACACGTTATTCGCAGATATATGATGACGGATGAGTGATGAAATTTAGCAATTTCGATTGGATATGGTCCAAGTTATAACAAGTCTAAAACTTCAGGGACTAAAATTGTCTATATGTAAACTAAACTGCCCATCTACAAAACGAAGGAAAACGGATGAACACGGCCGAAATGGAGAACAATCCGGCACCGGCGCCGACACCGCTGAAACACCTAACGTCGCAAGAATGGGAGCTCTTAATCGACGACCATCAATACGGTGGATCCCGCCGTGAACGTTGGATCACGTTGAACTACACTGGTTTCCCTCTTGTCGACCTCGCTCTCTCCTCCATCATCCGCAAAGACCTCCCACTCAACCTCAAGCTCCACCTCATCGTCTTCCTTGAAGAATACCTTATTACTTTCTTTCCCTTGCCGGAATCCAATTCAGAAACCGAACAAACCCTAATTCGGTTCCTCGAAACACTGCGCTCCGTCATCAATTCTCCAGTCGATGGCATTTCAATCACTTATTCTCTCAAAGAACAGTTACTCGTATCAACTACATCTATATTCATCTTGTTTACCATTGATAACACTGATGATAGTAAAACCCCTAATTTTACTTATACTAGTCAACTCGAGGGTTTGATCGATGTGCTGTTGACGGTGGTGAACCGCCCGAACCATGGAATAGACCGACAACTACGCGGTGCTGCATGCGAGTGTTTGAGAGAATTAGAGAGAGAATGCCCTAGTTTGTTATCAGAAATTGCTGGGCATTTATGGGGATTATGTCAAAGTGAGAAAACTCATGTCGCTCAAAGCTATGTGTTGATGCTAGCAAACGTGGTTCATGGTATAGTGATTTCGAAGGTAAACGTTTCAATGCTTAGTACTTCAATTCCGTTGACACCATTTAATGTTCCTCTGTTTTTGACTGGGGGAGGTTCGGCGAGAGAAAATTCTGGTTTAGCGGTTAAGGAATTGAGGAGGGTAATGTCTTTCTTACTTGAGTGGCCTCAATATTTGACTCCATTTGGATTATTTGAGTTCATGTCCATTATAATGCCGGTGGCAGTGGCATTGGAGTTGCAGGCTTCTTTGTTGAAGGTACAGTTTTCTGGGTTGCTTTATACATTCGATATGCTGCTCTGCCATGCATTCCTAGGGATGTATTTACAATTTCCGGAAGCATTTAATGGACAAGAAAATGAAGTTGTCAGTCGTCTTTTGCTAATTTCAAGGGAAACACAACATGTTTTGGTTTTTAGATTGCTTGCACTTCATTGGCTATTGGGCTTCTTGGGATTGGTGATGTCAAAGAGAAAGGTCATCAAAGAGAAGATTTTTGCGACAGCTTTGCGATTTTATCCGACTGTATTCGACCCCCTTTCTTTAAAAGCTTTGAAGCTCGACTTGATTGCATATTGCTCAATATTACTTGACATGTCTAGATTGGCCGATGCAAATGGTCAAATGGTTTCAGATGTAGGCAACTCTGAAGTGCCTGTGGTGAAGCTATTTGAAGATGGTCTTGAGTCTGTATCCGGTTTCAAGTGGTTGCCACCATGGAGCACAGAAACTTCAGTCGCCTTTCGCACCTTCCATAAACTTTTGATAGGTGCCTCTTCTCATTCTGATACTGATTCTCCCACCAGAGATCTCATGGAGTCTAAAATCTTCCATGCTTCAGAGGTACAATGTAAGACCTTTCATTGCTATGTTCTGCTTTTTGATTAGGTATATATTCATTGTAAACAACTGTAGATATTCATCTGCCACATTTTTGAGTTGCAATTTTTGCCACTTAGTTTGGTTTAATAGCCTCACCAAGTACTGGTTTATCTAAAACAAGTTTCAATACCATGGCATGCTAGAAAAATGATACCCTGCTATTTCATGTGAAAGGTCCCCTGTCACCCTTTAGGGCCAATGATGATTCAGAATCTATAGATACACATTTAAGGACTTGTGGTCAACTTGAATGAACTTCTTCAAATTTATGTGGGGCAGTGATCTAAGCATTCAACAAGCTTAACTAGCAAAAAGTGGTATCAGAATAGTGGTAAAGTAAACTTTGACGCTTATCTTGGAATGGAGGGAACATTGACTTACATACATCTTGCTTCAGGAAAAAGGTGAAACTCCTATATGAAATTGAGGGTCTTACACATTTTGTTGTAACTAGCATCTGGATGAACATAGAAAACATGAGTAAAGACATTAGCTCTTTGGGAGACTAAACACATTGGTATACATACGAAAGCTTGGCCAAGTAAGAATCTGTTGAATGAGAAACCTGGATATTAGATGGATCCAAATGGGTACCCTTTGAGGGATGAGGGGCAATGTTTGAGATATGTATACCTTAGTTGAATGGAGACTTGTCACGGGGATGGTAAGAGTAGGATCAAGATTAATGTGAGAGGAAGAAGTCAGGAGAAATTGAAGTGATTGGTGTAAGTACCAAGATGCATAATCACTTTACCTTTAGCTGTTCAGCAGTTTAGATAAAACTTGCATCCTCAAGAAACTCTTCAACTCCGACTGAATCTTTACTTGATAAGAGCCAAAGGTGCAGATATGCTAAATATGTTTTTCTCTATGGAGTCATCTTGTCTCTTCTCTCGGGAAGGATGAAAGGATAATAACTTCAGTTTCTCTCACAATGTCAGGATGAACATAGTTATTGAAGGAACTTGATCTTAACATTAAAATAAAGGTGATAGAAAGCCTTGTGCAATTCAAACACTTGGTTCCTTATCCCATCTATCTTGCAAACTCTTTAAGTTTCCAAACACAAACATTGCTCTTGAAATCTAGCAAATTCTACATTAGCCTTCCTCGTATCGTCTTCATTTGATGACCAACCACTTCATACACTTGTTGTTCTTGTCAAAAATCTCCTCATCAGCATGTGGAGAAATCCTCTTAGGATCCTCACTAAGCTATTCATTGCCTTAGCACCTATTATCACAAATGAGAAGGAACATTTATTGATATATGTATGATGGTAAAAAAATTGTTTGTTCTATGAAGTTACACTATATTGTTTATCTCGGATTCAAAGAACACATGATAGATGTGGCAAATAAAATACCAGAACCTAATGTGTAATTACTTTTGACGGTAAATCTTTATGTTTTGAGAAGTGTATAAGTTCTTTAAAGGTTTTCGGGGGCTTCTCTCGTTTCTGGCATTTGGACTAGGATTTTGACCACACATAAAGTTCAAGTATCAAAATGTTAATGTATAAAAGCCTCCAAGCCATCTCTCTCCCTGCACTTAAGCCATGTGAGCCTCATCCAAGTTACATTGGAACGGCACCTGCATCAGGTAAGCTGTATCCTTTCCCTTGAGTTTTTGTTTATTTTAAGGAAATGGTTATAAGTTTTTGTTTGCGCTGGGCTTACCCATACCAATTTTGCATCCTAGTGGATATGATAGCTTTAAGACGAGTACCAATGCTTCCCTGTATAAAACAAACTCCTTAGACAGCAAGTTATGGCACCTATACCTAAGCACTTGCTGGATTTAGTGATCTTATGTCCAAGAGGACATCGTTTTTTAACCACAAGGGTTGTGGCGTAGTGTTTGAGGTACTGGGGCATGTGCTGGAATATCCATCTGCCTAGGGTTCAATTCCAGGCATACACAACAATTGTGGCCACTGAGTTTATCATGGCTGATATCTTGCAGTCACAAATTGCCAGAATTAGTTCAGGCATGGCCTGGGACACCCTTCCAAAAAGAACATCGTCTTTCATGCGTCTCCAGAGATGGAGCTGATTTTGAAGTTGAGAAGGCAAAGGTCATGAGGAATGGTCTTCCGCAGGGCTACTGCTTTCTGTAGGAGGTTTACTGGAGCCTTTACCACAAATTACGAGTCCTACTTATACTGTGAAAAAAATGACAGTTTACATGGTCTAGGTCGCTTCTAAAGCTTTTTGTGGAAGTCATTGATGGGTAGAGAAAGCACCTGTTCTCGAGGGGTTCTAAACACTCAACTAATAAAATAAATTAAGGATCCCTATCAAGGAGTGTATTGAGTGTGTGCTTGTTTCCATTTTGTTATTATAATGTAAATAGGTTCATTAACTTTTTTGAAGTGGATGTGTTATCAAACAATTCAAAGTTGGTCCAAATAAAGAGTTTCATATTTGCCTGTTGCTTGTTCTGGTCTTATTAGCTTCAGAAATCTGAATGAGAAATCTCATTGGAGAATTTTGATGGGTTAGATAGGTAAATCCTTGAATTGAATCAGTTAACAAGTAAGAGCTTATTTGCCAGATGCTTGGTAGTTTCTTATAGGCTAAACTAATGACCTCACATGCAGCTATATGCATGTGCAATTCAAATGGTCATCAAACGAAATGAAATATATGTAAAGCAAGTAAAGGAGGCATTTTAGGGGTTAGATAACTATTTCCTACCTTGTAATGGCTTTCCATTTCTTCTTACATTGTTCTATTGGAATATAAAATGACACCTGTGCAGCTGTGCTTCAATTATATGGTTGATTATCCACAATTGCGTATCGCTTTGATCTTTGCAAAATCTGAAAGGTGGTTATTTGGATTTGAAAAGAGGCTGCTGGTGGTGTTCTTTTGGTATTTCATATTCTGTGGAGATTATATTGGTATTATTCATATATTTATGCATTGAACTTGTGCAGACGATGCTAGTAACAATGACCTTAGAGTCTCAGGGATTGATTCCTGTCATCGTAGCTTTCGTCAACCGCTTGCTAGGGTGTTCTAAGCACCGCTGTTTTGGAGTGCGCTTGCTTCAGACATTTGACAATCATTTGCTTCCAAAGGTTAATGTTGACAGACTGGGATCTTATTTCCCACTCTTTGGCAAAATTGCTGAAAGTGATACAGTTCCACCAGGTGGATTGCTAGATCTGCTTGGTAGATACATGAGTATTCTAGTTGAAAAACATGGTCCAGAGACAGGATTGAGATCATGGTCTCAAGGAAGTAAAGTTCTCGTTCTTTGTCGAACAATACTGATGCACCACCAGAGCTCTAGAGTCTTTCTCGGATTATCTCGTCTCCTAGCATTCACTTGCCTTCATTTTCCAGATCTGGAGGTCCGTGATAATGCAAGGTATCAAGAACCAAAAATTCTTCTCTACTTTGATATCTCATAAATTATGATAATTTTGTCTCAATTCATTGTTAGAAATTCCTTATTCCAGATGGTTTGCACTACACTTAACTTTTAGGACTTCCAAAATCTTAACGGAGTCTATTGCATCATCTTTCCAAAACTGATATGTGGTGTTTTCAGAATATATTTGCGGATGCTGCTCTGTGTACCCGGAAAGAAGCTCAGACACTTGCTGAGTACTGGGGATCAACTTCCTGGTATTTCACCATCTTCTCACTCCAGCTCGTTCTTCAGTGTTCAGTCTCCTCGATTTTCTTATGATTCTAAGAAATCGAAGGAAATTTCATCCTACATCCACCTTGAGCGAGTAGTACCGCTATTGGTCAAACAATCTTGGTCCTTGTCTTTGACTTCATTTGGCATTGGTGGTGACAAGCCCCGTTATCTGGAAGTCATCAAGGACAGCGACACCCCATCAGCGCAACCAGACACAGCAGATGGTAATATTGATTTCCCGATTATCCCTGCAATTGAAGGACCCAGTGAACCTCTGCGTGTGACAGATTCAAAGATTTCCGAGATCGTTGGAATATTAAGGAGACATTTTTCATTAATTCCTGATTTCAGACACATGGCAGGTATTAAAATTGGAATATCCTGTACCTTGAGCTTCCAATCCTTACCTTTTAATCGAGTATGGGGAGATAACTCGCTTGCTAATGGATCTTCTGGGGTTGATGTCCTTCCTGCATTATATGCTACTGTGCTCAAGTTTTCTTCCTCAGCACCATATGGGTCTATTCAACCTTATCGCATACCGTTTCTTCTCGGGGAACCTGGAAAAAACGATATACCTTCCACTCAAATCGATTCCCTAGATATTGTTCCTGTGGGCAACAGTCCTGAAGAAGAAGAAGATGATGAAAACTTCAAAGCTCCAGTTCTGATTGAATTGCAACCGAGAGAACCATCACCAGGGCTTATTGATGTCTCCATAGAAGCAAATGCCGAAAATGGTCAGATCATTTGTGGTCATCTTCAGAGCATTACTGTTGGTATTGAGGACATGTTTCTTAAAGCTCTTGTTCCTGACGACATTACTGACGATGCAGTTCCAGGATATTTCGTAGATTTGTTTAATGCTTTATGGGAAGCATGTGGCAGTTCATCCAGCACTGGGAGAGAGACCTTTCCGTTAAAAGGAGGTAAAGGCGTTGCAGCTGTCAACGGAACACAATCCGTCAAGTTTCTTGATGTTCCTGCAACTTCGTTAGTTCGAGCTGTTGAAAGGAACTTGGCGCCTTTTCTTGTTAACGTGATTGGTGATACGCTCATTAATATTGTCAAAGATGGAGGTATCATAAAGGACATCATTTGGAACGATGATACTTCAGGTTCTTCTCTTGATGTCGTCCCTTTGGACTCAGATATGATCGAGGGCCCACTTTATCTCAAGTACGATGAGGAAGAAGATGACAGAGGGAATAATCTTCATCTCACTAAAGGAAACATTGGTTGCTTTCATATTTTGATATTCCTTCCTCCAACATCTCATCTTCTTTTTCAAATGGAAGTTGGGATTGACTCAACCCTAGTTCGCATCCGAACGGATCATTGGCCGTGCCTTGCTTATATTGATGATTATTTGGAAGCTCTGTTTCTTGCTTAGAGGTAACCTTTTCTAACAAATATCTTTTCTTTTATCCTATGGCTTTCTGGTGATAATTTGTTGGCAGTTTGAAATGATTTTCACGGCAAATGTTCTTAAGCCCTGATGATTGATCAAACAATTAGTTTGGATCGATCATTATTTTTTCTCAAAATTGCTACTCAAATCTTTATCGAGTAAAGATGAATTCTGGTTTCTTAGGGATCTTGAAGAAATGAGTGGTTTTTCCGTTTGCGGCATGAAAGTTATGGGTTGGATCATGGGTGCTTTGTGAAGCCGAAGGACAAGGCTGTGTACAATGACATTTTTCGCAAAGCCAAGATTAGTGATCTTGGTGCAACTTGAACCGGACTCGGACGTAAAAATGGTGTTGTAGGTTGTTCTTTAAACCAGAAAAGTTGAGCTGTTTTGCATAGATAAATAGGTGTTATAGAAGGTGGTGTTGCTAGATATGGAGAAAACAGGTGTGGAAAGTAGTGATACAGGGGTTGAAGGTTATCCATTTGTTATTGTCGTTTCATCTGGCTTCATGAAAGTTGCAATAATTTTGCCAAAAATTTTATTGAAGTTAATGTAAATGCCTATTTTTGTCATTGCCTGTAGGTGTTAATGATTTGGGTCTTTTTTGCAAGTGTATTTTAGACGGTGAATTAATATCCCCATATGTTTTTTTAATGGTACATGGCTTCCAGAGTTTATAATCAACTTTTGATTCTCATAGGTCTTATGTCCGCTTTAAAGCAGCAAATGAGCAAGTATAACTCGTTTACACCATGCCTACATTGGTGTTAAAGCTTACCAACCGTAATTAGAATCCAATAAAACGGAACCTATCCGTTCTCTATTACACGTTTGTTATCATCCAAATAATATAAACATATGCAGTTAATTAAGTTTTATGATATTGTTTTTGATCGGTACTTGTATGTAGTGTTTTTTAAAAATTACGAGGGTACATGAATAATTGGTTGCAAAGGGCCATTTATTAATTGTTTATCTGATAAGCGTTTATTGGATCACTTATCTTTGTCGGATGAACATGTCAATACCCGAAAATCTTACCTAATAAGAGCGATAGCAAGGAGCCAAGGACCAAGAGTAATACATGGAAAACTGTTGCTTACAATACCATTTTGATAGACTAGAATCTTATCTGGTAAGACAAATAAACCAGATAAGTGTTTTGATAAACAACCTCCAAGATCTAATGAATGAAACCAATCCGCTCCATTCACCCGTAATATTAGATTGCATTGGTTGTCCATTTGGATTGGATGCCAAAATCCAACATCCAAAAGACAATTGTATCAAATTGATCCATCTAAATCCATTTGATTCCAACCGATAAAGACTCGTCTAACCTGATGGCGATTTTTGTTGGAAAAAGCTGTCCAACCAGCTAATTTTTTTTTGAAGGCCATAATGTCTGAATAGATCTAATTGATACAAAAAGCACAATCAGCGATAAAGCCCTAGACTAGAGTTCGAAAGTAAGGGGGATACCATGATAAATCTGAATAGAATCCTTGTTGAACCAAAAATTAACAGCCACATGCCCGCACCTCAACATGATACAACTCCAGCGATGACAAGGTATACAGAAAAACATAGAAATAAAAAGAATAAAAGAGATCACAGACGAAATGATGTTAAAGGCCGATCCAGAAAGCTATCGGCGATCATGGGTTCTCCTAGATCCTGAAAGGTGTTTCCTAGAATCAACTGTTCTAACGTCTCCATGCTTTTCCGACAACTCTTTATCCATTGCCGATTTCCGCCTTCGTTGCAGCTCCTCCACATGCCGCCGCCACAATGATTCCCGGTCTTTTCTCGGCATTTTGTTGTATCGGGTATCATCTTTCAGAAGCCGTTTGGCTGTTGACCATGAACTAAGAACCGTCTTACCATCTTCATATTCTTTTGCACCAGCATCAGTCGTTATCACATCAGCTAACAAAGCTTTAAATTCATGTGCACATCGCTGACAAATGGCAACAGATGTAAGTTTAAAAAGGTCAATTAAAATCCAACATCAAGTATTGAAGAACCACCAAGGGGTCGTTGGCCAAACGGTACCCGGGTTTGTGGTAGAACCCGCCCCCCACAAGGTCGATTCAAATCTCACCAAGGGTGGTGACTGCATGATTATTTGTCGTGTATAGATATTATATACTTCAAAAATAAGTATTGAAGAACCCTAATCACTTAATAGAAGTCATCGCTAGGTCTTATTAACTTACATCATGCAATAACTTGACGTGTTCACGGAAAAGCTTTTCGAGGTCTGATTGATCTAAATAAGGGTTGCCTGCACGCCCTTGAGGATCCTTCTCGAGTTTAGGCTTTGCATCTGTCCATGAAACCTGAATCACAGAAGTAGAGATGGTATAATGAAATATTATCTTAAACCCACAAATACTTAACATACGAGAATTTTACTACAAAAAGTTGATCAAGGGGTACCTGTGGATCTTTGATCGTCTCTACAAGTAATGCTTGATATGACTCGATGGCTTCCTTTCTGCGAGCTTTTGAACGCACCCTCTCCACTTCCTGTTCTTCTCGCTCTTTCCGCTTACGCAATGCCCTCTCTCTTTCTTTCAACTTCTCCTGTATTTAAGTATACAGAAAGATTTCATGATGTCCTCACAGACATGCTTTGAGTTTACAGTACTATATTTACTACATCACAAGTAAGACGAAGGATCGTGTGAGAATAAGAGTTAAGATGAAAAGTGTAAGAAGGGATCTGGACCCTTGATCACTTTTAATCTCAAACCATACCATGAATTGTGCTTTAGAAGGGAATTGATTAGGTGCTTCTCATTAATGTTGATCTAGTGTAACTCTTCAGTTAGGATTGATCCAAGAGTGGAAGTCCCTTCTTACCCTTCTCACCATAACTCTCATTCTCACCAGAACCCAACCCCACAAGTAATTCAATATATTGCATTTAATGGGATTGCATTAAATGGATATTCAAGAAGAAAAGTTAACATAAGTTGAGGGATGTTTGATTGGTTTTTCATCAAGTCCTATATGGATAAAGCTGTCTATGTAAATTAATTGTAGATTGGGGAAGTTTTTGTTTAGGAGGGTTTTCTCATAGATGGAATGAGCGTGTTTTCTAATAGGGAGGGGGAGGTTTGGGAAAAAACTTGGCTTTCTGCATAAAGCTCCCCTATAAGCCTACTGAATAAGCCACTTTCTATATCATTAAGCTATTACTAAACAGTCATGTATAGCTGACCGAATAAGCCGTGAGTCCCATTAAGCTTCTTAAGCTGCTAACAAACAGGCCCTTAGACCAAACACAAATCAAAAGCTTGTTTCAGTACCTCCTCATCTCGTTTTGCCTTTACCGCCCTTTCAGCTTCCTCTTCAGACACCTTTAGCTCTGAGATATATTCATTAAATAAAGCTTCTCTATCCTCATGCTTAACTGATTTGTATCGAGGGTCACTTCTTAGATTGTCCTTAACCTTAAAGATCAAAAATCAACAAATACATACATAATCAACAAATAATACCAAAGTTCAATCCAAATATCTACGTTGTCTACAAACTTGGCATCATGTATGAGATTGTCAGTAGTTATAGCAACAACCACATTTTGGTTTAATTTAGTGAAAAGAAAGGTTAGCAAACAGATAGATATCGTTCTGCATGCATCACAAAGACCATCAAATAGCTAAATCATGATCACATGACACATTATTTTTTTCTTTATCCTCAGTAGAGAAAGATCCCATTTTTTACACGGAAAAGGACTTTCTTTCATCTCCCAAACAAGATTTGGAGTACCAAATGAGTAAATGTGGTAACCCAAATAAGAATGATGGATTGAAAAGAAATCATGTTATAGAGTCTAATAGAAGTTCATATTAATTTCAAACATAAAAACATACAGATTTTGGGGCACATGCCTTCAATGGTGATTATAAGTCCAGTGGGATAAATTTACTAGATTCATGCTCGCCCCTAGAGATCAAAAACAGATTTTCCGTCCTATATATAATGTTCACTATAATGTTCTTGAACTGATCCATCAAAATAAAAATTCAACTATATCTTTAAAAATAAATTAAAACACACACGCACAGTTCCAATAGAATACATGGATGATTAAGAAAAAATAGATAATGTACCTTAAGATATCCTTTATAGTTACTGGATGCATCTCCTTCAATATTATCATTTATGATTCTATACCTATTTTAGTATTTTATTAATGGTCATTGGTAATACTTACTATGGCTTAAAGAATAAAATGTCTCAACATGAAGTGGGTGGTAGGGATTTGTGTCACTGTTCGAAGCATAAATGAAATGTTGCATCTTGGAATAATTTTTAACATGGTGGAAAGAAATCATTTTGTAGGAACCGTAGAGAAAAAGATGTATGCTATTTCCCTTACTAACATAGAGGAAATGACAATTATCAGAAAAATATTTCGGTATCTCAAGACTGGAGCAAGCAACCATGGGCAGACGGAAGGAGTTGTAGGTATTTACGAACCTTGGACCAACGAGAAGTTGAGCAAATGTCCTTGTTGTCCCGAAGCATAGACTTGAAACTAGACACAGCAGCTGCACGTTTTGCACGAGCCTCTTCTTCAATGGACCTCTTTAGTGGAAGTACCCTAAAAGAGGAAAACTCAAAGCCTCATCAATATATTGAAAAAAGGAACAAGCATAAAAAACAAATATCAAAATTCAAGAAACCCATGAAGATGTCACTAAATATGAGATTCTGCATTATGAACATATTCCTTGAACCACACATGGTTAACAATTATCTTCTAAAAAAACAAGTTTTGCAAATACAATAGTTAAAGGTAGAACAAATAGCTACACATACAATGAGGAGACGAACTTTGAAAGAAATACGCACCACTGATTAGTTCAACTTAAGATACATCGTTTTCATCGTAAACATGATCTTAACTCCCCCATCTAAAGAACAAATAAATATATGTCTGACCGAGCTACCTCGTATAATACCAAAAATATAAGTCGCCAGTCAACAAATGGATGGCTATTGTCCATCATGCCACTAAGACCTTTATAAGGATCCTGATGTTTTCTTTAGAATTTATATGTCGAGCTTCGGAATATAAAAGAAAAGACAGCGCAGAAAGGAAGAAGTGGGGGAGTATCAATGAACAAGGTGTCATTTTCATCCTTTAAAGATTGAAAGAAAACACTCCCCAGAAAGAATGAAGAGAACCGATAGTAGTGGCCAAGTATTTGTCCAATAAGAAACACAAGAAACAAGAATACCTGATATAAAAGCTAGCTTAAGTAAATGATATTACATGATGTAACAAAGACACCAAAAAGAAAAGAAAAAAGCAACAACAAAAGAACATATACACAAATGAAACCATGTAGAACAACCTGCTCACCTCTTAGCTACGATGCTTAGAAGATAGGAAGGGAATTCCGCCACCCCGCCTCTATTATAAAAGCAAGATGATTATATAACTTTTCAGGTCATCAAAAAAGTATACGTGGGAACACGTGATATTTCTAAAAATCTAAATGTTATAGCTGATGGATGCATTTTTTATCTTGTTGGCATCTGCATACAAAAGCTTTGAATGATTCAACCCTTCCTATTAATTCTTCCATATAAGCCAACCTAATGGATCTTCTACTTTTCTCATCAACTCCCTAGTGTCTAACATACCGTAACTGGTGATGTGATATGTGTATTCCAATGTCACCCGGTTCACCTTTTTTTCCTTGATTTGCTACCTGGGTGAAATGAGGATAACGAATATGGATTGATGCTCCCTTAGCTCTGCAAGGTACCAGCTTGTTGAACTCCGCAGAAGTGTAAGATGTAAGTGAAGATAATAGAAGACAAAAAATCTCAGATATTCTACCTTCTACTAGAATTGTGTGGTCCCACAAAACAATAACTTATAATCATAGCTTGCTGTGTTCACAAATATGGATTGCAAAAAACAAGTAGATCCAAGCAGAGTTGCATTTTTATTGGCGCTAACTCAAGAATGCAGATCGCAACCTCTAAAAAATCACTCAGTTGGTAGTTACTTTTCATTCAGTAAAGTTTATTGGCGCCAACTCAAGAATGCAGATTGCAATCTCTAAAAATTCAAATCACATTTAAACCTTCAGATGGTAGTTACCTTTCATTCAGTAAAGTTTCTCGCTCCTTCCGGTCCAACACCTCAAACCGTGGATCATGACCCCATTTTCTTTTAAATGTTTGATAGTCAGTATTGTGGTCAATATCCTGAAAGATAGATGACAGGATGGCAACAAATTATAACCCCAATCAATCAAAATCTAATTTATATTGTGGATTACGATTATGTATAAGAAATTTTTGAGACTTAAATTAGAGACAGACTTAAATCAAACCTCCTTCGCCTCATCCAGTAACTGTTTGTAACCTTCAATTGCAGCCTTCTGTGCCGCTCGTTTTTCTTTGCGTTCTTCTTCAGCACGTGTCCGAACAAAATGATCGAACAGAGCTCTCCGTGCACTATAACTTGGTATTGCCTGCAAGAGGATGCAGTGTTTATACACTCGGTACTTAATCAACAAAAAAAGGTTGAAGGATGAGAACAGAAAACTAATAGTTCTAATTCTTGTTTTTCTTGGAGAAAAACAACTGAGCTATACCATATTCCTATGTTATCTTTTTTCATTCTTCGCTCCTGGTACAACGATCATTTACATCCTCAATTTTTGTTTCTAGTTCAATCAAAATATGTCCTTTGACTAACGGTTGGCATTGCCAAATGTCAATATCTGGGTGATCATACTGGTCTACATAATGCTGGAGGTTTACCAGGAGCTTGGTCAAAATATGTTTGCAAGTGAATCAACTCTCATATGATCATCAAGACAAATATTAAATTCTTGATTATTTCTTCCAATGATATCAACTTTGGGTCTGACCTTAAAAGATGCAAGAGCATGCCACATCACTACCAGCAAAGGACAGAGGATGTGCCCTTTTATATTTGAAACATGATTTCAATAAGCTAATGGCAAGAACCTAAATTGTTACAATATAAAAATAGGCATGACAAACCTAGTCTACCATACAGCCTTAAGAAATGATCGCTCCAAATTAGTGCACCATGGTGAAAGAAAATATTCCCTCAAAGGATAACCAAAAGTATACCTTGCGGCCTCTTGCTCAAGGTAAGTTCTTGGAGACAGGTATCTCACAACAAGGTCATTTGACAAAGTTGATGTCATCTAATAAAAGACAAATTCAAGCCTTAACAACTATATATGACACACACACAGACATGCAAAAATGTGTGTGTATAATAAAGAGTTACTAAAACTAAAAATATCTAGAAGAAAACTCTAACCAGCTACTTTCTTTGCTAAATAAGCATCACGTGTCAGCAGCTCGTGTTTGAGAATTTCATTTGCTTTTAAGTACTACCATCCTTGCACATCATTCCATTATTATAGAAAAGCTATTTCTGGACTTCATTTTGCCCATAGGAAAGCCAATCATACAAAAGTCAGGAGATGATCCAAATTGTCTAGTTTCTAACACCATAACTGCCTAACACAGTCCTCAATGTACAAATTGCTTAAAAACACATATACATAAAATATTAGTCCCAGAAACAAACTTACAGGCTCAAATTGAAACCCTCCCTCCTTCCCCTCGTTCCACATGCAACTCCTTATCATATCTAGGACGGGAGTTGGTCAATTGACTTGATGAACATTAATTTTAACCCATTATCCATGAGAATCTATATAATGACATAATACCAATAATGAGAAAGATTAATCCAAGTAAGTCTACACACACATTAAATCAAATGATTGTCGCAGTTGGTAGCAATAAAGGGAAACGAAGTCTGAGATAGCCAAAGTTTAAACCTTAAGCAAAAACACACAAACATTATCATAAGTACTTAAGAAAAGAGCAAGCATTGAAAATCAGCCTGAAAGTTGGACAGAAACAGATTGTAAGATTTTAAACAACAGAAGTAAAATATCATGCTACAGGGAACCTGACTGACAAATAGCTTTTAGGTTTTAACCTTAAAGAGGAACAAAAATTTTGGCCTTAGCAAACCTTAAAACGTGGATCGAATACAAACTTTGGAAGCTCCTTCTCCCATTTCGAGAACGGGGCCACCCCACGGTCCTTGAGCATTTCCTGGATATTCCACAAACATAAAAAATAAGATTATTAAAACCAGCACATCAATGATAGAGATCTGAAGCAATATATCATCAAGCACTATCAGTAAGGACCTTCAAGTAACTGCAATAAACTATTGGGTTGACAATAGCAATAACATGTAAAATCAAAGGCATCATCTTTTTAAAATATGCTCCAACACAATCTCTTGTATACGGGTCCTTACCCTTTAGTACACCTTAAGTCCTTGACTTCACATTTAAGAATTCATCGATTCTGAGCATTAATAAGTATCATCTTCAAATATTGAAGCCGTAAAGACCATAGTTGTCAAGGCACAACAGTCATGGCTGTAGCAAACCACCAGAATGACATGGCGACACAGAACTCGCCATGTTGTCCACACAACAATAAGTCCATGACATGCTTTTTATATTAGTGGATTTATATAATGGCATTTATTAGTAAATTCACATGAGATATAAAATGACTGATATTTAATACCACTAAAAATCTAAAATATGCCTACATTCAACAAACTTGAACACAATGACTTCCCAAAACTAAAAAATAGCTCATCAACTATTATAATTGTAAACAAGAATTTAATATTTAGATGAAACATAACAACCATAAGGCTTCCAACCTAGATCTAAATTTGTTATCAAAATTTAGAGCTAAATTTCCAAAAGCCATTTTGCATTGACGATTTGCACATCAAGCATAAATAACGTACATTGGCCTGGAATAGGTAATTTCAGCTTTGGAAAAAAAAAATAGAATGTAACAGAAAAAGCCATGCTTATAGTAGTCCACTTAAGAAAAAGAAGAAATAAAAAGTGCAAAAGACAGCACATGTGAGAAAGGGGGAAAGAACAATGGAGAAGAATGAGAGTTGCATTGCCCGGTAGATAAGAAGAGGGTAGCGATGATCTTTTAATGCTGAGAGAAGATGACATTCCTCATGATGCTTTTGAGATTCCAAATTTGTCTCTGGTACACACTTGCCTTCTAATTTGTCTCACTGATCCACTCTTAGGTGGCACAATTGATTAGGACATTAAGTTGGATTTCGATATTGATTTAGGTAAGTGGGTTTTTTCCAACTCGACTTTTTTGTTGGGCTAAAGTCTGGGCTACGGCAACTTACAAAAACCACCATTTCGACCCAGGTTATGCATAGTATCATTAAGAATTACAATGCAATCACCATGAAACCCACATCAACGCCATGCCAGTTGGTGACCAGGATGACAAGGTTATGCGATAATTATGATAAAGACTTTGCAGATTTTCAAGGGGATAAAACAGGCTTCCATTTCCCAAGTACAATAAAAGAAGACAAATCTCTCTTCTGTTTTCAAACTTCCCCGTGTAACATCAAACCCCCAACCTCCAGAGCACACCCCAAAACTTACAAAAAGTGAATATCATGATATGAAAAGTCCAAAGATCAATTAGTAAGGTTGTGACATGTTTTCATTGCACAAGTGACTTGCACCATACCATATGTTTGCACACATCTACATCTTTGCAGGATCACAAAATATATGGGACCAAGGAAAGTTCAAGATCCAACCATAGTCAATGCTTTTCTGCTTTTAATTTTCACTATTATTTATGCACTGCAACCATACCCTCTTTCACCAATAAACAAAAGATTCATGATTTTCGATAAGTAATGCCGCAAAAACATTAATACAGTAGCCATACCAGCTCTGGAAGAGCAGAAGCGTATCAGAAACATGCTGGTTTTTACGATGAGAATAATTAACAAAATAAAAGATACCTTAAATTGAATGGCACGCTCCTCCTTGGTTGGTCCACTATCCACATCCTCTGAATCTGAAGAGCTATTTGATAGGTTTCCATCAGCGTTGTCGTCTTTTACCTTATCTTTTCCATTCTCACTATGTGAGCCTTTTCCTACTACATCAACTGGTGTAGACCCATTCAATTCAGATGACATTGCTCCAGCCGAGGTTTGGTGTGGTAAAGAGGTAGCAGGTGCTGTTGAATCTTGCAGTTTCTTTTTTATCAAATCCAGTGCAGATGATGATACAGGTACACCTGATGCTCCAGCGGATATGGCATCACGACCACCTGTGTTAATAGCAGGGGCACTCAAGCTTAAAGGAACAGATCCTTTTTCAGTTAAAGTAGTAGCACTTGGCACTGACATTGATTGTTCTTTCAAAACATCACTGTCCTGCCTCTTTCTCAACTCAGTCACATCTGCTGGTATTTGCCAGCTGCTCAACTGACCAAAGCAGACAAAGACTTACTTCATCATCGCAAATAAAAATTGAAAACTTTGAAACTGATTTACATGTCAAACCCAGAAATAATGGAAGTCAACTTGATAACGAACAAACTGAAAGTAATTACTTAAGTATTGCCACCTAGAATTGCCCGTACATGTGTTCCAACTTAATTCAAATATTCAGAAGTCACGTAAATCATATATGAATCATATCATCAGCCCATTGAGCACAAACCACTGAAAGTTAGTTGCAGTTTTACACGTCTACTTGGATTTCAACAACAGAACATCAGAGTTAACAATTTGTAAGAAAATATGCTTTGACATGCATTATAACATAGCTAAGCATGTTGCTAATGTATAGTACAATAGTTGAACTATTGGCAAACGCAGAAACAATTCAATAAACTAACAGTTAGCCTACAGTAGTAAGTGCAACATGTAATAAACCATCAATCATGCCCAACTTGCTAAGCAAAAAAAATCCATATACTGCAAAAACAGAATCAGTTTCAAAATTCAAATAAGTTTCTTTCTTTCCCATATTCAGATGACAGTCAAAATTGGAGTACATAACAGCTGGCAACTCACTGTACGTAAGCAACAATCATGGAACAAACGGAACATAATGTAGAAAAAATAAGCAAACGAGTACATCAAACCAAGAACAAAATAAGCATCTTAGCACACTTCAACTACGCAAGCAAGCTGGCATCCAAACAAGTACAAGGACAAAATCCAAGCAGTCAGCCAAGCAAACCTAGCCAATTAGAATCCATCACGCACCATGATTCCACTAAGACAAACCAAGCCAGCCAGGAGATTCCACCAAGCAACCAAATATTGCCAATCAAAGTTCCATCTCAATACCAAGGACCAGGCAAATAGTGTGGGTCCACACAATCAATCCTGATAAACATCAGAAGAAGATGCCTCAATGTTGGATTGCTCCACCAACCAACACTCAAGTTCCCCTCCTAAGATAGAACATTCGTGTTATGCACCCCACAAGGTTACTTTTCAGGAACAACCAAGCAAAAAAGGAGAGCTCCTCAAATATAAGAAAGAGGATGTCCTCCTCATGAAAAAGCTAAGATGCTCCATTCATATTCCCCTCCTAAGATAGAACATTGGTTTTATAAACCCCACAAAACTACTATTAAGGAGCAACCAAGCAATGAATGAGAGCTCCTCAAATGTAAGAAAGATGATCTCCTCCTCGAGAAGTTTAGATCATTGTTCCATACAAATTCTCTAATAGACTGCTGTTTTTGCAAAACTTTCTTGAAATTAACCTACAGCAGCCAACAAAATAACAGCAAGAAGCACAAATGAACTGCTTTGAAAACACCCAAAAATTGCCAGAAAGCTACAACTTAACCCCTTCAATTATCAGTTAGCCAGACAAGCAGATGCTCGCCTATCAGTTATCCTCAACTTCCAGCCAATAGCAATCAACCCTTATTTTTTTTAAAGTTACCTAAGAATCCTAATTTTTAGGGGATGAATGGGAGGAAACCCCACATGGAAGAAAAAGAAAAGATTGTTCAATTCCGGTTAACAACAAGCAACGCCCTGAAGTTTCGCTGAATGACAATCAATGCCCTATAGTTCCAGTCATTTACAGAACACCCCTGAACTTTCAGGAATCAGAGAAGAAGAACACTTCAATTCTAGAAACTGAGCCACCACTAAAAGTCATACTACAACCAAACAAGCCTCTAAACATCAGGTTCAACCAATTCTTGCGAAGATCGTCCAACCATGATGAGGGACTGAGATGTGATGAGTGCTGGAACTAAAATGGTGAAGCTGCACAGTAGTTAGAATAATGTAAACAAGTAGGATATTAGTTGAATCAAAAATGGTTTGGTCCATACTCCTTCAGTACTTCACGTGAAGCAGAAGAGCTCCAGTGATAATGTATGTTGACAAAGAGGGCTAAACAGACAAGTCATGGGAACTTCGATCACCTCTAAAGAAGATGGCAATGGTTTTCTAGGTTCTGTTGAAGGATAGATTGTAATCACATGTGTCTAAGACAAGTAACAGAGGCAGGAACATAAGAAGATGCAAATGCTGGAGGCAAATATAATTCCTAACTACAATGCCATACTCATACATGTAAAATTAACTTTAAAAAGAGCTCAAGTTACCTTGGTTTTAGCATTGTAGTAATATCTTTTGCCATCATTTGTGGTGACTAATGACCAATCTGTGCCAGCACACTTCTCCCTGAACAAAATATAACAAAGAAATTAAGAAAGTTAAAGGCTACCATTAGGTGATTCAAAATCCTATAAAATATATAATAATTGAAAAAGTTAGGGTTCTGAGTTATGACAGCACACAGCAAGAGAGAAACCCATATATAAAGTACATACATGAGTAATAAAGTAACAAAAGTTCTCCGTTTCACTCCTCAGCAGAAAAAAAGAAGTGAACTTAAACTATACAAACAGGTGTACAAAGCTAAAATGTTTACTTGGACTACAAACAACGGTACTCAGCTACTTAAAAAATCATCTCCACGGTCAAACAGTCAGGTTCTATTAACTTGCATGTTATTTCAATCATGCAATCTCATTTCTATGCTTCTTCAGATGCCAGCAAGAGTTGCACTATGAGGTGTATTCTTCACATTTTCCATGATGCAGTTTATGGGGCTACCTGCTCATAGCAATAGCTTATTGTCTAGAAGTTCTTGCTAATATAACTTGTAAAATGCCTCACATGTTTAAGAAGACTACTTAATCATATATATCTACAGAAAACTGGATAAAATAGGCTTGTCATCACCATAGAACTTTTCAACTTCATGATGAGCAATACAGCTTTTGCAGGAATAGCATTTGAGATCAATATTGGGAATATATAATAAGCTTAACCACATAGAGGGAAGAGCAATTCCACAAATTCAAAACCATACTCACTCAGTATGATAATTAAACATCCCTAAGAGTGACAAAAGTAACAAAAAGTATCCAACTGAAGTATGCAAAACACTCACCATGAGATTGGAGTCGGCTGTGCATAAACTTTATCAGGCTGCCAACAGAGAGCGGAAATGAAGAAGAGAAATAAGCAAAATTAGTTCATTTGGGATAGGCACACAAATTATGTAAAGGATAAAATTAGTATGATGATGCTAACAAACATCAAGCTAGGTAAAGACTATGCTATCTAACAGAACACGCAACAACATACATTTGAAACGCCAGATTAGAGAAAAATTGACCACTACAGGAATTGAAATCCTGTTCTCTGAGAACACATTCTTCATTTCTTCTCCATTCCCCTACTATAAGCCAAATTCTTATTACTAGCTGAATGCGCAATTCAACCTTTCCCCTAACAACTTGAGCATCAACCCTAACCCAACATGAGTCCATACCCAAAAGAAACTGATACCAAAACAAAGCAATATAACTACACACACAAATAAATGGCTATGGACATTTTCAACTTAGATAAGCCAAATTATTTGTTTACCTACTATGCATTGACCAAAACAAGATCTAGGTCAGCCACATAAGTGAAACAGCAACCCCCCCCCCCCAAAGAAGTGTTCAGAATAAACCAACAAAAGAGGGACAGTACAAAATCAAACAATGAAATAATATACTTCCATGTAGAACTTTGAATATGGCTATGCTTGCCCCCAAACTATCACATATATAAATATATAAAATTGACAAGGAAACAACTTAAGCAAGACCAAACACATCATGTATCTGATTTTCTGTATTCCCCTCTACATGATACATAAGTGTAAAACCAACAAGAGTTCTTATCAATAACTTTTAACCGTACAGGAGAGAAGTGCTGAATCCCTTTAGAGTACATTTATCAGGGCATCATAGAATGTACCACATATTTCGTATTTGTATTATTGTATATGGGTATTAAGCTCAAATACAGTTCCCAGGTTCTAATATTTATCGTATAATGAACAGAGAACAGTCAATATGAAACTATGTACCTCTCCCTTAAAACCAACAGGTTTTTGATAAGTAGATTGTCCAGTCGCAGCATTATAATAGTATACAGTTCCTGTTTCAGTCCTGTGTGCTGACCATACATCCAACTGCTCGATGGCAACTGATTCTTCCTTGACACCAACAACATTTGCATGCTTGCTATTGTCTGCACAACCCAAACATAAATAAAAGCTCAACTCCAGCATATTAAGTTCTGGAAATCACAACATTCACACATACCAGTCCCTGGAGGTAATTCATGTGGCATCCCTGAACCAACCAATGGCATGCTGTCAGAGACTGCAGAAGATATAGAGGCCACACCAGGAACTCCAATTGAAGAACCAGGAGGCTGAGCATCAGATGGTGGAACTGCGGAGAGTGGAATGCGGTGAGCTGGCATAGAAAAGGATCCCGGGAAAGCAGGATATGGTAAAAGTGGGGGTCTTGACAACCCACCAATTGGTGCAGGCTGAAGCCAAACTCCCTGAGGAGGGGCGACCATAAGAGGATTAGAAGCATAGGAAGCATAAATTGGTAGTTGAGCGGATGAATTAGCTTGAACAGGAGTAGCTGGCATCATAGATCCTGGGCGCAGAGAAGATGACGAAGAAGCCACAGCTGTAGAGGGAATAGTGGTATTGGCAGGGGAGGATAATGGAGATCTTCCCGGTGCACCAGATGTTACAGGAATTCTTGGCACACCTGTAGGCATTTGAAAAGGTGGTGCAGATGGCATCCAGAATGTTGGTGAAGCAAAGTTAGAATTTGTAGATGTGACACCCAAGGTTGAATGAGCATGGTGTGAAACAGAATGAGGGATGGATGAAGCAGAAGATGCATTGGGTCCTTGGGCGACATGGCCTATAGCTTTCTGTTACAAATAGATTAACCATGATAATTAAGTCTCCATATGAAACTTGGTGAAAGAACAATTAGCTACTTACTACAATCCTCAGAATATAATCAATTAAAATAAACAATTAGCTTCCTGCAGCATCATCAAGAATATAATCTATTAATTCTTAACTATGAATCGACCTGTTTCCCCAAGAGAGAAGGAGGTACATTCTGACATTCGAGTAAATTCAGAAATTGGTTATATTTGATTATCAACATAAGACCGACACAGTTAGTAGCATTCAATTAAATTTATTCATATTCAATTTAAGTTGAAAGTAAGTTTATTTGCATCATATGTCAAATCGTGTTCATTCTAAATAAAGCATCAACCAGAAAGCATAAAGCATAAACTCTTTTAACAGACCACAAGTTATTGCAACAGACCTCACGGTTACCTGTAAAAACTAAGAACTATACATTTCCATGTTTATCGTTTTGCCACCGTCCATGCAGAACATGCTATACATGAAGTATTCACACCAACAAGCTCATGCATAGCCAATATCCAAATGCATACATGTTTGAAAGTGTTCTCCGCCTTGGGTGAAATAAAGAACGAAAGCACTGTGAGCCACATGAGCGACTACCTGGCACTAAGCACCTTAGGCAACCAGGAAACTGTTTGCAAAAACATGCAACAGTGGAGTAGTTTGTACTTTGTAGTCCTCCAAACTACCTTTTGACCAAACTTAATTAGGCAAAGCCTTCTATCATACAGGATGTGCATTTCTTAAGCTGAACATGACCCGTAAAAGAAATTCCTGAAGTCCCCAACAATTGGTCATTGTCCTTAGCTTCCCACTTTTTACTGAACTACATATATTACAAACTGAACCCATGCCCGACGAGTGCAAAACTAGTATAATAGCAAAAATACATCTAGTCCCAATATAACAGCTCAAATTCTCACTTGAAATATCACCTATATCGAATCAGAAAGACAGTATTCACTAAAACCCAACACCCACGGTTCGTAGTCTTGTGTTACATAATTTGTATGCATGGCAGCAATGCACTACAAGTTTAGACTAAAGAAAACACGGCTACGATTGTAATGTCGCAAAATAATGCTCATAACTTCCATAACATTACCACATCAAAAGAAACTTCCACATAACCTATGCTTATGCCAGTGTCAGGTGTAAAGAAAGTTAGTCATGCCAGCAAACAACTTTAAGAATAGAACTCAAGGAGATGCACATACAGATGGTACAGATTGATCCTTCTGCAGCAACTGGTGATGTCCATTATACGAAAAATTAGCAGCATTGGATGAAGGTTCTCTTGGAACAGCCACAGGCGAAGGTGGTGGCATGACCTGCGTAGTCATTCCTCGTAAAAATGGACTGGGATGTACCAACTGTCCAGGAACAGGAGGTTGCAAGGATGTAACAGATGGTGAGACAGTCTTTGGCCCTTCAGATTGCGCTGAGGCAACTGCCTGACAAGGGCCAGCAGAAGATGTCACAAAATTGCAAAGCACTTAACAAAAACATGACCAATAGGCTCCTAAACGAAAAGTTGAATGAGATCATTGGTTTTAGTGAGCTTACTAAGATCAGAGCCTTCACCGGTTAGAAAAGGCTTGATGTTTTATTTTCGGAATGAGGAACGCAAAGACTACAATAGAGCAGTGACATCTACATGACATAAAATGTAATACAAGGCACCAACATATGGCGTTTCACACTATAAATTTATAAATGTTCAGTTCTCATTCTCTGCCATAAGCTTTTGTCAGTATGAAATTTATAATAGTTTATTCTGCCATATGGTAAAACAAACACAAAAATCAGTTGATCAAAACTTTGTAAGCGGTTCATATTGAACACAAAGTTTTATTTACCTTTCAAACCCACTTGCCAACTAATATTCTAATGCTATGTCACCACAGATATCTTAATACATAACAAATGCTCTCCCACAGAGGTCATGACAACATCAACATTCAAATTTATTACTTGATCGGTCTTCCTGCTTATTCATTGGCAACCAAATAAATGATGAAGGTAGAAAAAGGGACACAAAACAACCTTGGACGGACAGTATCTCAATAGCCACGCTAAGGTGGATCATAAGACAAGATGACAGTTGAGCATTACTATGACAGCATCCTTGCTTAAATATGAGTTTGGTATTCGGGTGAGAAGAAAATTGAGGCAAACAATGTTTTTGTAACTCAAGCCCATCCTTACCATTCCTGAATGGATTGACTGGCCACCAGAGAAAGCAATCTCGGCTTGTGGAATATTATATGAAAATGAAGGACCAGAACTAGTAGAAACGCCAGGAACAGAAGGTTTAGGAAATGACGAAGAACCTGGTGAGTTTATCATAGCCTGCAGTTATAACCAAAAATTAGCTGAAGATATGCAGAAAAGGTTTGCAACAATTTATAACAGTATTTAGGATAATGAAGTATTTGATTAGAACATTTCAGCAAGCAGAAAAAAATGATAGGTTGCAGAGGGATCCACTAACAGTGTTTGATGATGATTGACGAGAGCTCTCAGAAGTTGTATTTGCATTTTGAGGTACATTGTACGAAAATGAAGGGGTGGAGGCAGCATAACCGTGTGAATTAGCACGGTTTGCTGGGTCAGAGCCATGCATTGAATCAGTGCTGACCGTGTCTCCATCCTTTAAGGTAGATTTAGCGGCAACTGAAGCACATGCAACAGTTGGAGTTGAAGGTGGAGAAGATTTTCCTTCAACTGGTGGGTCAGAGCCAGCCACTTGAGATGTTGAGGTCTGCACTTCCTTAGGTAACCACGCAGGTGGTTCCATATCTGGTCTGCAAAATGAAATGTGAAAAGATATAACATCTGGAGTCATGAAAAGTTGATTTTCTAAAACAACTAAAATTATTGTCTCCAAGTTAAGTGTAATGCCCAACCCAACTAATAATAACTGTCTCCATTTGTAAGTGTAATGTTCAAACCATTCTGACCAAATGAGCGTTTTATATAAGATGGTGAGAACAATAGCAAAGCTGGCATTTTCCAACTCTTTCAGATTCACTATAGTATCCCCATTTAAGCGAATTACATCACACTATTATCTAGATAATGTGTAAGAACAACGGGTGATGCTTGAATGCACCAATCATTATTATCATATCCTAGTTATTATTTCGTAATGCCAAATTATTAACTATGACCATGAATACGGTTGTCATTCAGGATTGTGATTTGTTAGTATAGTTGTTATGAAACTAAGGTGAATCCAGGATGTAGCAAACCATTAGGTTGCCAAAGTGACAAAGCACAAATATAGTCCTTACAACAAGCAGTAGGCAATTTACATGTCATTTCATGTACTTCAAAATTCCTTCAAACTATACAATACAACCAAACACAACCATATCATCATTAAAGCATAAGCATAAAACATTTGATATTAAAAGCCAATAAAACAACTCGATATGCCACAAACCCCATATAAATATAACAGCAAGTGTTGATTTATCCACAAAAACAAAAGTGTAGCGTACTGAATTAGAAATTTGATATTTATAAATTACCAGAACCGGTTATAATAACACCTTTTTAAACTATTAATATACAGTTGATAGTATAGTTGATTATTTCTTTGACCATAAACAGTGACAGCATTCTGACTAGGAACCTTTAAGAAGATGATTTCAAAATATTAAACAGACACCACTCAAAAGTCAGAAGGGGATAAATTTACTTAGAAATCCAATCAAAATACTCATCCTCGTATAATACAAGTATCATAAATTTTTGGAGTATAATTTTTTGTAAGATCCTCAACAAGTATTTCCATTAATTTATTAAGAATTCAAAATCGTAACATAAATTAATGCTTGTTACATTCTTAACAGTGTAGAGAATTGTAGTTCTAAATTGCAAACCAACCTGTGTTGTAATACGAGAGACGAAGCCGGCAGAAGTTCAAACTGAAAATACGACGGTCCACGCCACAATAGTAAAATAGACAATGAAGCAGACGGCGGAGCACACCGGCGACGGGGCGGACGAACGGTGACAGGGCATGGGGTTTTCGGGCTTCTGTGTTGCTCACTCTTGCCGATTCAATTAGGGCTTTCTTTTTTTGTTTTCACCACCATCTTCTAAACCCATGTTCGCTTTCTTGGGGTGTCCACGTAAGTTTTTGGCTCCGGTTCGGGTTCTTATAATCCGGTCCGATCGAATAGATGCTGGGTTTTTCAGAAAATTTTTAGTAAATTATGGATTTGGTCCAGATTTACACTTTCGATCCACAGTGGTCCCAAAATCAAAATAAATACTGATATGATACTCTTGATTGACATTTTCACATGCTTTAGAACTCTTGGGTTGCATTCCCGCACAATCTGAATCCCTCCTTCTAACATAACCACTTACTTATCAGCGTGCGATGTTGCACAAATAATTTTGATTAGAAAGTCGACAACCTGAAACGACAATATTGTTTCAAATTTTGTTTTGTTCTTCGTGCTTTTTTATGTTAATTCTATGGTTTTTTGTGATTTTAAACGATAGATCAGATGATTTATAAATTCAAAGTTAAAATGTTCTATTGATCAAAGATTTTGAAATGATGTTTTTAACTCAAAGCATTTGTTGTTCTGGTCTTTTAAAGATCCGCATATGCATTAGTTGTTGGTTTGTTGTTTTTACAACTTTTATTCTAATGAAAAGCAATATGGAATATTAATCTGGAAAATATGGCTTCGTATTAAAAAGACGATCTACCACATAGATTGATTGATGTTTCACAATGTTACTCAATAAAAAACTTTTAATAATCAAATCTAAGAATGATAATAAATAAAAATCAATAATCTAAAAGGCTCAACACAACAGCCGTCGTGGCGTGTCGTGGCTCAAAGCTTATGTCTGACACGACGTTAAAGTTTGTGGCATATGAATGAGTCAATACACAATTTTGTAACGTGGTATTTGATTTTTCTTATGTATTTAGTTTCTTCTTAGTGATGTAATGGATAAAAAATTCAAATATGTACCTTGATCTATTAGACATCTCAAGGTTCTTGTATATGATAGAGACTTACAAAGAGCCTCAAAAAGTATGTTGTTAATAATTATACCATGAACAATTAATCATAAAATTTCAGTCACACATCAATTAAATCAATTCAGGCATTGTTTGGAAAAAAAAAAAAATAAGTTAGTTGATTTGTTGGGTACATCTTTAAGATGAACCAAGCTTATCGATAAACTATATGGAATGGCTTGTTAGGAGCTTATTGTCAATTTTTTTAATTATAACTTTGATTAGTGTTAATTGTTGTAACACCTAGATTAAGAAACCCTAAGTTATCAATTTCAAAATCTCTAATAAAAATTTTGATTAACCTCAAAATACGGGATATTAATTTTTTAGAAAACTTTGAAATGTCCATTTATATTTGATAAGCATTTTATTACATGCTTAAAATACTCATTTTTTTTGTTTAATAGGTAGATTCTTCTAGTTTATCCAAACTTTAAGTCATTTTTATTTTCTTATTTTCCATTTATTATATTTGAAGCTAAATGTGGTGATGAATGTGTCTTTACAACATATGGGGTAGATGTTATTTTTAACTTATAAATACTACACCTTATGCTGCAGCATTCCAGCATCATTAGCATGATCTGATACGACTTTTTGAATAAGTGTTTGTTGATTTTTGTTCAATTTGAACACAAATTCATGGCTTGATCATAAAATAAGAAATAAACTAAACTCAATTATCTAACCAAAGAAATTGACCTCATCGCATTTGGATTTTTCTATGATTGTATACAATTTTTCAAAGTCTGCACATTTTCGGTGTCTTCTTAAGTTGAAATTTCTCATTTTCATACTTTATTCGTACCATTTCAATTCCAAATTCTTCTAATTTATGGGTTTCATTTTAATATAACATATTTGACATAAACAACCATAATCTAACCTTAATTTCATAATTTATATCATCTCTCAAATTTTTTACTTAACCAAGTCAATGTTCACATGATGAACTTGCTTAAATCTTGATAATCTTTTGAACGTAATGATTATTCATGCCATAAATAAATTTGTATACATTTAAGATCAAACTCATATGAAACCCTAACTATTTATTAACATGCGATCCATATACCAAAAAATATCAACCAAGAACAAGTGCAAAGATGAATTGTATCTTTAATTGATTATCAAATCTTTCAAATATCTTGTAATCCTTCTTTGATTTGAGCTTGAATTAAGCCAATGTATGTGTAAATCGCACCTGTAATGTGTGTATAAGAATTGGACTCATAATGACATAAAATGGGACCAAATTTTGAGTTTTTTATGCTAAATCCCGATATGGGTCGAGTGGACCCGGTTGGGTATCCATTTTGACTATCAACACTTCAAATATTCATAACTTTTCGCTCGGATCTCCGTTTTCGATGAGATTTTCACCTACACGTTCATAAAGAGATAATCTATAACCTCCAATAAAAATGTTTCAGAAAAAATCTCCCAAAAAAACCAGTTTTATGTATCTATTTGACATGAAATTTTATAGATCCTCTCATATACTTCTAATAAGTAAAACTCTAAAATTTCAAACCCAAATTCCCACTAAATCACAAGTTCTCTTATATGAACACTACTAGAACACTAAGTAAAATATTTCCACTTTGACATTTAACATGCTCCACATCTTCTCACATAATATCCTCTTAACATGACAATTAAACATACTTAGCAAATAATATGGACATATTAAAAATGGAATGTTACAATTGTTATTCATTACTATTATTACTAATATGAATAAATATTAAATTCAGTTATAACTAGTTTTAATTATACATTAATATTAGTTATTTATTAGAACGGTACTCGCGCAATGCAACGAGATATATATATATATATATATATATATCTCAATTTGAATGTTTCGTTTTATTATGTCTTTGTATATGTTATAATACGGTTTATGTGGTTTTGAAAGAGGGATGATGTTTTTATTTTGAATAAAATATAAATTTGAAGAATATCATAAAAAATAAAAAATAAATATATCAATATCAATATGAAATTAATTATTTAAAACTTTTTATTTTTTATGTAATTTATTTAATTCAATTTTTTTATTATAATTTAATTTTAGATGTAATAACGATGTAATTTATTTTATGTTTAATAATATAATTTTTATAAGAATAATGATTAATATTTTGTTAGAACTCAATGATTATCCTAATTATATTTTAGATTTGATATATTTAAAATGAAATATTTATCTTGTATTTGACTATGTTTATCTGCAGTTGGTTACACGAATTAAAACATGAAGCTTTAATAAGTTGTACTTATACACAATTTATTTGTAATATTGAATTTTAAGTAATATACATCAATAAACAATAATTTATGCATAAAAAATGGTTTTTTAAAGATTCTGTCAAATGTTTTATAATATAGTATATATAATAATTATTAATCATATAAATTATCTTTATATTATTATTTTTTAGAATATCAATCAATATATATAGTTATCAAAATTCAAATGTTACAGTTATAAAAATGTTCATATAAGTTACATAAAAATAAAAACACTACTTATTTTGTATCATAGATAATAAAATTGTAGTAAATGATTCTAATAAAATATTTAATTATGTTTTTTGAAAAAATATATATTAATTATGACATGTGAGGTTGACTAATTTTATTTTTATTCATATTATATGTAATGGTTATTTAAAATCATAAGTTAATGTAGATTTTTTCTAGAATTTGTCTTAACAAATCCAAAAATTATATATATATATATATATAATCAATTTAAAATTCTTTTAATTAACATATATTATTTAAATTTTCTTTAATATCTTTTTTGTATCAATTAACATACTATTTTATTAGGAATTTGTTTTAATTATATTATAAAAATTTGTAATTGGCTAATTTTTTTAAGATGTTTTTTTCGGTTATTTTATATCTTTCATCTAGCTTATCAGATAATCTTTGTCAAACGTGATTTGTTAATCAATTAGTTTATCAACCAACAATTAATTTATCAGTTATCAGCCAATTTGTCAAATATAGTCTTAATATAAAGTTCAATTCATACTTTTAAAACTCAAAGACAGATAAAAGCATCTTAAATTCAGACATTTATCGAACCCTGAATTGAATAAAGTTAAGTTGAGTTGTCAAATTTATATGTATTTTAAAGACGACTTATTTTTAAATTAATATATTTAATGTGTTATTCGTACAACCAAAGACAGATAAATTACATGACTTAATAAAAATATAATAGAATTATTCCACTTGTCCATGTTTGGGCATATAAATGATTCCATAGTTAATTATAATGGTGTTGTAGATACAATTGTTATTTTGTAAAAATTATGTAACCAATATTTATTTTTATATAAAAATAAATGGAGAAAATAATAAAAATGAATATTTTATTATGTGGGTTGAGTTTTGTGATTTGTGAACATGATCCTCCTGAATCTCAATTCGTGATGATGCTTCCTCGTCAACTTATTTGAATTCCCCAGTGGACCAATCTCTTTTGGTCTCTCAAAATACTCTTCGTGCAACATTCCTGAGCTCAAATTTGATGGAAGTTGTTGCTATTCGTAACTTCAACCCCATTTGTTTGCTCCCCAAGCTATCCAGGTTATGTTTTCCCTGAACTTTCTGCAATTCCCGTATCAAATTCTTGTAATTCGATCAAGGAAATCAACTGGGTTTTTTGTTTGATTAGGGTTCTTGAACGTATGCGTATCTATCTCATTTCGCTTGGTTTCAGTTTCCATATGTGTCAAGTATCAGGCACATATAAATGATTTCTCAATCATCGTCAACAAGCTCTGAATTCTCACAGATTTTATGGGCCCCATCACCTCCAATTTGCCCATGTAAGAGAAGAACTCAATCGGGTTCATGTAGTTCAAAAACAGGTAATAGCTTAATTAGTAGGAATAGGGTTTCTAAGAGAAGAAAATTTTCTCTAATTTGGGTTCGCGTGGTTCCCAGTGATGGAAGGATACATAAATTTAACTTAGAGTTTGTGAATTCCACCAAAAGGGGTGCTAAAAACTATGTTGTCAAGCAAATTTCGAATGAATTGGTTGAAGGTGGTGATGATTCATTGTCTGAAAGTTCCATTCCAATGGGGTCTTCCAATAACTTTACCAACTTCAGAGAAGACCCCATTGTAGATAAGCTCAGGACTCAACTTGGAGTTATACACCCTATCCCTTCACCACCTATTAATCGGAATATTGTTGGATTATTTGTATTCTTTTTCTTTGTTGGAGTTGTGTTTGATAAGGTTTGGACATCAAGGAAAAAGAACAAATCAAGGGATGAAGGGACACCGGGGATATGGCCACAGGTTCCTACGAGCTTTTCTTTGTTTCTTGAGAAGGATTTGCAGAGAAAAGAGTCTGTGGAGTGGGTGAACATGGTGTTGGGGAAGTTGTGGAAGGTTTATAGAGGTGGGCTCGAGAATTGGGTAATTGGGTTGCTTCAGCCGGTCATTGATAACCTACAGAAACCTGATTATGTGGAGAGAGTTGAAATAAAACAGTTCTCATTGGGTAACGAGCCATTATCTGTTAGGAATGTTGAACGCAGAACTTCTCGCCGCGTCAATGATTTACAGTAAGTTTCCCGGTCGTGATGGTTTTTCTTTCCCGAGTTAATGTTGCTTGTTTCCGTCTGTTTTTGCATCAAAAGTTGGATTTCTTCTCGAGAATGTTATAGACGTTAGAATATAGTTCACCGCATATTCCCATAATTAAAATTTATATAATAAAGATCAAGGCCAACTTAACAAAATTTGATTGATCACATATTGGAATAAAAAATGAACACAAGGCAATTATCCACGAAAGTAAATAACAAAAAACAAAGTTTAGCGATCTAGATGTAATTTGCTGCTCATTTGTTTCAGATTTGAGGGGTCTATTTGTCATTTTTTGGGTTCTTTGGGATTTCAAATTGATATAAAACTGTCATCCACAAGGGATAAAATGTATGATTTTGAACTTTGGCTGCACATTAAGAAAATTCTTCTAATTCAGATATCAAGACATTTCCCCCTTGAAAGTTTAATCCACTTTTAACCAATCACATAGACCATGAGACCAGAGAACAAAGAGCAATCCAGCTCAATTTGTGTCGCCATACAAATTGCACTTCTTCCATTTGTGGCCAATTTCTTAGTGATAATCATGACTAGGGTGTGCATCCGAAGGTCTATAATTATAGATGAAAAAACATAAGTTGTTCTTTCGTTTTGATTTGTAGTGCACCTCATAACAGTCTAGAGGTGGTTACAAATTTTGGCTTTGCTTCTTATATGTTCGTTAATTCCGTGAGGTTTTTTGGATAGGTCAAATATGAAAAATAAACACTTATATGTCACATGTGATATGACCGTGGTTTCATTTTATTTAATTATTTTATTAATAAATGTTTTCCCTATGAAACACTATGTGGCTGTCCGTTCTTGTACTCTCACATGGGGTGCTGTGTGGGTGAAGTTCTTTCGGGGTCCTGCAGGGTATGCACAAGGTGATTTTAAATAGTATATATATATTATGTACTATCTTTATACCAAAGTTACACTACACTTTTTATTTTTAAGTATCTTAGAAATGAAGTTATCTCGTGTGTCAATTTGGTTTTATGAATAATCTACTTCTTACCTTTATCTGAAGAATAAGTTGAACTCCATTTGACCGACTTCTGATACCCGAGCTTTTTTGATGTAATTGTCAAGATACCAAATAGGACTCCGTTACACTGGTGGTGCCCGTATGCTTTTAATGCTATCGCTAAAATTTGGCATCATTCCAATCAAGGTGCCTGTGGGAGTTCGTGATTTTGACATTGATGGAGAACTGTGGGTTAAACTGCGGCTGATTCCATCAGAGCCGTGGGTGGGAGCTGTATCATGGGCTTTTGTCTCACTTCCAAAAATAAAATTTGAATTGTCGCCATTTCGATTGTTTAATCTAATGGGTATGCTGTTTCTTTACGCTCTTTATTTACTTTTTTTTTTAGTATTCTGAATGGAATCTATAGAATATTAACTTGTTCCTTCATGCATGTACTGATGCTACACCAGCCATTCCCGTGCTTTCCATGTAAGTGATATTATTCTCTTGACACTCATGATTTCTCGTGGACTTTGAAATTTTTGTTCCTTCTGTTTCTATCATAATTGTACCTTAGCTATTGCTTGAAAATTTTACAAGTACTCCCTCCATCCCATGAAAATTGCAACATGATCGACTGATTGTCAAAATACAACTAAATTAATAACGAAAATCAGGGGAACTTTGTGGATCCAAATCAATAAATTAGCTTACAAAAACAATAAGGAACAATAGGTAAGTTTTATTTGGAGTCTTTCTAAAAAAGGAAATGCTGCAATTTACACGGGATATCCTAGAAAGGATAGTGTTGCAGTTTTTACGGGATAAAAGGAGAACTATATTCGATGTTTACCACTCTCCTGTGAAAATTTCCCATACTGCCCTTAAACCATCTGTATTTTTGTGTCTCCTCCCCCTCCTGCCTAGTTGGCGTTATCTGGTTTTCTATGAGCCACGTAAGATATATTGCCCACAGACCAGTTAGGTTCTAGTTGATGTGTTCCATTTATACCTGTATTCATATATCACATTTATGATTTATCTAACATTTCAGTTTTTGAACCCATTATGACTTTATTCCCTGTCTTTCTTTCAATATCCGTGGATGAATTCTCATTCATAAACTTGGTTTTTTGATATCTGTCAACAAATAATTTGATATTGCATGAACTTTTAGGTTTTTGACAAAACTTCTGACGGAGGATTTGCCACGGTTATTTGTTCGTCCCAAGAAGATTGTACTAGACTTTCAAAAGGGAAAATCTGTTGGCCCGGTCCGAAATGATTTCAAGACAGGAGAAATGCAAGAAGGAAACAAAGATTTTGTTGGCGAACTATCAGTCACTCTTGTCGATGCTCGGAAGCTCTCTTATCCCTTTTATGGTCTCTCTTCTAAGTTACTTCAAATTCATATTTTACATAGTTGTTTTAGTTTTTCTTTTAATCTCCAAAATGATGTTATTCCAATATTTTAATGAGACCGGAACATAATCAACTTGAACAAAATTTGCTTAGCATTAATCCAAATTGTGCTTTAAGACATGCACTACGAGTGGTTCTTCCGGTATCTTTTTATGCGAAAGAAACATAGCCGTTGCTTTTGCAAAAAAATGGTATGCAGCCGGCCAAATGGTGCTTTAGAACATGCATTTTGAGTGATCTCCAGATCCAAAGTCCATGTCTAAAGCACAATTTGACCTACTGCCAATGAAATTTGCAGGGATTGTATAGTTTCCAACCTGCTCTTTATGTATTTGAACATTACCATCAATTTTTCTACATGAATTATTGTCAATTGCGAATTAACGACAATTTCGAATTAAAAAAGTTAACTTATTTGACACTCGGAAGGCAATGTTGGTTCTTTGAATCTTTATCTTCCCATTTCATAATGCAAAACCACAAGATTGTATGAATTATAACATTTGCTAAATTTACAATTTTGCGTCCTTTTCATTATCAGGAAAAACGGATCCGTACGTTGTACTAAGGTTGGGAGATCAAGTAATACGTAGCAAAAAGAACAGTCAAACAACTGTCATTGGACCCCCTGGTGAGCCAATTTGGAATCAGGTGAGATTTTGGAATGTTTGTCTGCATCTTTTTAGACAATTCAAAATTCAGAAGTGATATAAATGCATCTTTATTTTATGGCAGGATTTTTACATGCTAGTTACAAATCCTAGAAAACAGAGATTGTCGATTCAAGTAAAGGATTCTCTTGGATTTGCAGAGACGATTGTTGGCACAGGAGAGGTAACCTCTTTTACTTATGCAATTGTTTGAAAGTGTTTATTTATCCATTTATTTTGGCATAAATTCAAAGCTTCTTGTATGCAGTTAAAACTTTGAACTTTTAATGAGTTCATTTGATAATAGAGTGAGGTTCAGGGAAACCCCCCAAAAGAATTGAAACTAAGGAACACCCTAATAACGGTTCATCTGTACGGTATGCACATGTGCATACAAGGAATTAAAAATGTTTCCAGGTTTTCATGCACGTGTGCATGTTATACAAATATGCATACTGTAATGATGAATGGTTATTAGGGTGTTCCTTAGTTTTTCATTTTTTTGCAGTTTTCCTTGAACCCGGTTCTTTTTTGATAATACTAGATGGTGTTTAATGATAAAGTGATCATTAAGCTTATTTCATTACTACAATATTTACTGTATTTCTAGGTTGATCTGGGATCTTTGAAAGACACAGTACCGACCGACAAAATTGTGGCCCTCCAAGGAGGTTGGGGACTGTTCAGAAAGAAATCTGCCGGAGAGATCTTACTCCGATTGACATATAAAGCGTATGTTGAAGATGAAGAGGACGAAAAGGTCGAGGCCGTGGCTACGGATATCGATGCATCAGATGATGAAATGTCCGACTTAGAAGAAGCTGCTGCTACGTACGGGCAGCGCGTAAGTGATTTCTCGAGTGGAACCAGCAGAGAAGCGTTCATGGATGTTTTAGCAGCGTTACTCGTCAGTGAAGAATTTCAAGGCATTGTGGCTTCCGAAACAGCAAATGCTAATTTTTTCACTGATGTCACAAACTCGGAGTCAACAGAGAGATCCCGTAGTGCTGTTGCAGCACCCGACCTTCCGAATTCCGACAGCGTTTCCCGAGGTATTGGTCCAGTTGGGTGTGCACTGTTTTTTTACTTATTTTATCTTGCCGAACCGTGTTCGCTAGCCTGGGGTATTCTCGGGAACAACACCTCTTGTCTCTTGAGACAGAGGTAGGGTCTGCATATATTTTACCCCCGACTGGTGGGATTGTAAGACCCCCTTTCCGAGAAGGAAAAGGAGGTTACAATCAAACTTAAAACACTCTTCTAACAAAAGCACACAGAGTATTATTCAACCCTATAAAAAACACCATCATATATAACAATTACCTCAAACGATACATTTCTTTCTTCCAATGCTTGCTTCTCGACATTAACAAAACTTACAAATTCTTATCAACAATCCTCTAAGATATGAAATGCTTTATGATACATTAACAAAACTTACAAATTCTTAAAAATGGTTTTTAAGAGTTTTTATCAAATGCTTTATGATATAGTAAGTATAGATAATTTAGAATCCTAATTTGATTAGGAATTCTTGCCCCCGGAAATTGCAATGAAGGTTATCCATAAATCTTCAATGTTTTGCTTATTGCTATATCTAGTCCCTCAGGCTTTATAAGGTTCCAAACTTGAACCAATACATTTTCTTATTAATTTCATAAAAATTACGGGATATTACAATCTACCCTCCTTAAAAGAATTCCGTCCTCGGAATTCAAATAAGCAAAGGTATCAAATTTTCTTTTTTCTTAGATAACGCATACTTATGTCATCAATACTGCTACATTCTAAGCATACTGAATCGCAACTTTCGTTACAAATAATCGAGGTCACTAATTACAATTATATAATTCATTCAAAGATTCTACTTAAGACTAATAGATTAGCAAACCAATCTGAATTGGATTGCCTATAACATTAAAAGAGACATCCACAAATTTTATCCCTCAAGACTTCAACAAAATGCTTTAAAATATCACCCATCAGCTATTACAATTTCGACCATGAGATTTATCAACCAATAAGCTAATCCAAATCCATAAAACCTTGATCCTCATACCAACTAGGGAGCCATTTAGGATAACAAAAATAATTCGACCACCAAGCTTCCGCTACACAATTCAAATATCCTCTCCTAATCTACCCATACTCACACGTCAAACCTATTTGGTTTTCTACAAGATAGAACCTAGAGCTCCGATACTATTAGTAACACCCTCAAAGCCCAAAGCAACGGACTGGCCCAATAACTCCGAATCCAACTTAAAACCATGGTGGAAGTTATTGGTTGCCCACTACTTGAGACTTAGGGGATGTTCGGTTGTGGCTTATTGGGCTATATAGCCCATATAGCATTCGCTCAGCCATAAATGATTGTTCGGTTATGGCTTAATCTGGAAATCAGGAGCTTATTTAGACAGCTTAAGAAGGGCACTTGTCTACATTCAGCCAAACTCTTTACTTAAATACCCTTCTTTTAACAAACAATCTCATCCTCAATAATATCTAAAATCCCACCAACAATTAAAGATTTGATACTTGACTTTAATTTAAAGATTTTAGGTTTGAAAAAATATTAGGGCTTGATATTTTTGAGAATGAAATTGTTCTAATGTGGGTTTGATAGGACTTGGTAAATGGTTTTTATTTAATAAAAACTTTGAATTGATATTTTTTAACCATTCAAAGTCAAATATTCAACATTTTTATCAAACAAATGCTTTAATAATGTTTAATATAGGTTGGTGGTAAAATGGTCATTTCTGACATTCAGACTGTTTATTCAACACAACAACTGAACAACAACTTATCTGTTAATATACAGACAACTATTTGCATACAAGTCATAATAGAAAACGAACCGAACAACCCCCTATAAGGAGCTAACAATTCTCACCTTCTATCCATGTGGGACGAGTTGTTACAAATGGTATCAGAGCGAATCGGACTGGTGTGCGGCGAGGACGCTGGGATCTTAAAGGGGTGGATGTAAGATCCCACATCCATTGAGTAGGGAACTAAGATTGCCTTATAAAGGACTAGATATCTCATCTATCAGACGTGTTTTAAAACCGTGAGTCTAGGTGTGTGGACAGAGCGGACGAAATCTGGTACGGTTGGCATGATATGTCACAAATGGTATCAGAGCCGATCCTTGTACCATCGGGATGGTGGGGCAAACCTCATCGGGTATGATGAGTCCTCGAGAGAGGGGCGTTTGTAACATCTTAGGCAAATCCCACATTGCCGATGACAAGGAAGAAGATTCCGGGTAGGCCTGACAAGGATGTCAGAAGTTTAAGTGGGGGAGTTTGTAACAACTCGTCCCACATGGATAAAAGGTGATAATTGTTAGCTACTTATAAGTCTCAAGTAGTGGGCTACCAATAACTTCCACCATGGTTTTAAGTTGGATTCGAAGTTAATGGGGCAGTCCGTTGCTTTGGGCTTTGGGGGTGTTACAGGGATACAGTGCACTGCTTTTTTTACTTGTATTATCTTAACGAACTATGTTCGCAAGCCAGGGGTATTCTTGGAAACAGCTCTCTGTCTCTTGAGACAGATATGAGGTCTGTATGAGTCTTACCCTTTAGACTGGTGGGATATACTAGGTTTGTTTCATTTGTTTTTTTTATCTTGACGAACTGTGGACTCGTTTGCAGGATCAGTCTTGTTTTGGCTTGCTGTGATCACAAGTATCTCAATAGTTATAGCAATCAATGTGGGTGGCTCGAGTATTTTCAATCCCTGATGTGATGCAAAAAGCTTCGTTTTTTCTAGTAAGTATCGCTCAATCTTTTTGACTACTTCTGTGGTTGGGTCGAGCCTTGGACCAACCTGCTGCAAGCCTTTGACCCGAGGGTCACGGTTTAAACACTTACCTGGCCAAATTACACATAGCTAAGCAGCTACTTTTCCTTCGAGATTTGATTTTTAGGCTACCATATGATCAGGTAGTAGATCATGACTTACCGAGGGTCAAACGTTGTACTTTCTGAACCCAAATTTGACTTAGATCTTTAGTTTTTTATCTCCAATTGTTTCTATTACAATACTTCTTTATAAAAATTAACATGTTCTTTACTTTTTCTTTACCGGTGAGTAAATACTTTTCATAACTTTTCCAAGTTTAAAGGTAAACTGTTAGACCAAAGTCAAACACAGTTTTTTTTTTTTTTTCTGAAGTATATAATATTTATATATGGTAAATGCAACAAAAGAACTTGCAATCCCTCTTCACCTTTGGCGAGGTTCAAACCTTTGACCTCCTGAGAGACCAAAAGCCCGGATACTATTAGGCCAAAGACCCTTTGGTAAAACAGAGCTTTTAGGCATACATTATGTTCGGATAATCACGTATGAAGCCATCATTACTGGAAGCGATTGCATCTGTGTGATTTGCTTACTCAGGAACCCATTGCTAACTGCACAATCGTCGTTCTTTGCAGGGAATTCGAAACTTATAAGGAGAGAATGTTTCGTTTGGCGGCTGGAATTGAATAATTTCTGTGATTATTTTGGTTATATGTGATTTTTTGTCACTATTTTTGTTCTTACATATGGTATTTAGTATAGAGGTCTTGCCAAAATGAAAGCAACTTCCAAATCTTTTTGAGATGGTCTTTATGCCCTTAGGCACATGTTGACTAGGATTTGTTTATGAAATCATGAGAGAATTAATTTTTTTTTTTAAGTATATAATATTTATATACGATAAGATACTTGTACACACTTTTCACAATTGGTTAGGTTGAACCCTTGACCTGCTGACAGACTGACTTACCCGGTAAACCTGAGTATAATCAAGCCAATGACATATGCATGTGTTTTGAGAGGGTCATTTATTGGGATCACCTATTTAAATTAGTGTAAGAAGTTAAAATTTAGAAAAGTCGATACGTTTGTTGCTCGAGAGTTGAGACATACAAAATGTCTAAAGTTAAAATTGGTCATAGTTGTAGTGATATGAATTGGTTATGTAAATTCCCGTTAAAACTGTAATGAGAGGAACTTGTTGTATAACTGGTTAGACCGTTGGTGGGTTAAAATATAAGATTGGTTTGAACCTTGAACCATCATATTGTTTAAGACAACATTTGAATAGAGCCTTTTTCACGTAGCTTTGATCGTCTTTTATAGTTGAAGTTTGGAAATGAATGACTGGCACCTTCCAGTTATCTTCCAAAAAAATTGAGCTTGAAACCGGCACCTTGCATTGATGTTGAATAATTGGAATCTGGCTGACAAATTGAATCAATCGTCTTTTAAAAAGTAAAGTCTTTTGTCGTTGTCTTAWTGGATCCAACACATCGAATCTGCTTTTGACCATAACGTCTTTCTTCATACTTTGCATAAAGCAGCAACATCTTTTGTATAATGACAAAGAACATTATTATCACTTTTGCGAAATTCAGCTGACAGCATCATAAATCTGCATATTTTTTATAAGATAAAAGATTTGAACAAGATGTTATCGGAAATATCAAAGAGCGTATTTCACGTGTTTTGATAAGATATATTTTGAATAGATACAAAGAATTGCTTGCAAAAGCAATACCAAATGAACAACTCGAATAGATATAGATTCTATAAGCATTGCTTCATAATATTATCTGGTTTTGAAAGAATCGCCAATGAATAAAGAATTAATGATCAAAATATACCTTTATTGATTAAGCAATCTTGAATACAATTGTTGTCGAGACAATTTGAGCATACATCAGGAGCAATGGTAAGAACGACTACTAACTGGGCATTAGGGTTAGGAATATGAAGACATGGTAAATATTTGACCTTTTGTTTTATATGTTGAACAATTTGGGTATGTTCTTGAGTCATGTATCGTTTCACTACTAAGGGGCTGTTTGGCAGTTGCTGAATGGTTTGGTGCAGAATGACTAAGTGGTCATAATGGTTAAGAAGGTCATAATGGTTAAGTGCTGAATGAAATAATGTTGTTTGGTAACTGTTTTCTGAATAAAAGCAAATTACCATTCTAACCCTCTTTGTTTTTTTAGTGATCATCCAGTTCAAACTTATGGTTTACCTAACGAAATCGAAAATCATGCAAATATACTTGAAATCGAAGATACTT